TGCAGTACACTAGACGTACAGTATATTTGGTCTATATGGCAGACTGTGAAAAAAAATGTTTTGGCCACACATAAGGGACGAATTGCAAACATTTTCGATGCATACATACTTCTTATCAGCCATGAAACATTGCACTAACCAATATGATGTTCACAGTTTCTCCCTTGTATGCAGCAAACAGAGACAGTGTGTTGATGTACACCACAAACCCACTCAAAATCATTGAGATTTTGTTGCTCAAATGTAAACTTGGCTCTTCTTACATATAGCACCTATTTTATTTTTGTAAAGTTGCCAAACTAGCCCTCAACTGTGTTTCTTACTAAGCAAACCACATTTTATATTAGTTATTTCGTAAAACAGAGATGAGTAAATATAAACCTGAAGACACACACTGAATGGGGTTTCACAGAATCTTCCACTGGGTTTGTACTTCTTACGCAGTCTTTATAGGGTTAACAAGAAGCTCATGCTATTTTACAAAGCTGTTTTGGAAAGTATTGTTAGGTATAGTATTACACTATGGTTTGTGAACATAACTACAGGTTAAATCTAAATTGGTGCACCTGGTGTTGACAGCATTGAAAATTGTAGTGCAACATCTTAACCTTTAAGGTTTCTACGAGAAATGCATTCTTAATAAAGTACAGAAGATTTTGGGTGATCAATCTCACTTTTTGTATCCACAGCATGAACTATACCCTCGGGTAAGATCATAGACAACTACTATACTAGGCTACTATACAATGTTGCAAAAAAACTAAAAATTGCGACCAAAGCTACAGTACAACGAGTTGCACAACGCGTCTATGAACAACACACTAGTTTTTGGTTTCAGAATGATCCAGTGTTTTTTCCCCACGTTTTTTTCAGTTGAGTAAACGATTCAGTGACTTATAACGGATCCAGAATTAATCGTTTTTTCTTTTAACGAATTGATTGCATAAGCACCTATTGATTGTAAGATTGAAAGTAGCCCCTTTCACGCATACAGTTTTTACTGGTAAACTACCGGTAACAGATCATCATGTGTGAACAAGACCTTTTCAAAAATACGGTTAAACTGGTTCCGGCAATTTACCAGTAAGGAAAGTTGTAACATAACCAGTAAATTACCGCTCTGTGTGAACGCGGAATGAAGATTACCGGTATGATCACGTACAACACCAGAACGTGCACTGCTGACGTATAAGTCTGCTTTGGGCCAATCATAAAGCTCTTATGGAGGTGACTTGATTACGCCACGCTGTTTACAGTAAGCTTTTTAATTGTTTTTCTATTTAAACATCCGCAAGATGATCATCTTTGCAGGGTTCGTACAAGGTGCTTAAAGTAGGCCTACATGAATTTAACCTTTTGAAATATAAGTCCTTTGCATAATGATGCATTTAAAAAGTAATGATCAAATATATTTTTACATTTACATAACATTTACTATGTTGTTGCAGATTAAATATGATACATATTTGTATAATCATATATTGATAATTAATCACCCAAACCCATTTATCTAAACCTCTCTTTAAACCGTCAGTCTTTCGTATTCTCCATGTTTTTAGTTTTTTAACACTACACTCTAAACAATGCTGGGTTGTTTTAAGCCAAATTTGGGTCAAATATGGACAAACCCAAATGTTGGGTTAAAAATGTAATTTACAATTTTAACCCAACTTCAACTTTTACTTTCAACTGTAAATTTTTTAATTACATTTTTAACCCAACATTTGTCCATATTTGACCCAAATTTGGGTTGAAACAACCCAGCATTTTTTAGAGTGTAGTAATAAAAACAGTGAAAAGTTATACTGATGTTAGACTGTTATATCAACACTCTTGGAATCAAATTCAAGGACTATTGTATAAATAATAGGGGTGTAACAATGTGTCGTAGTGTGAATTGTGTATACACTCTAAAAAAATGTTGGGTTGTTTCAACCCAAATTTGGGTCAAATATGGACAAAACCAAATGTTGGGTTAAAAATGTAATTAAAAAATGTACAGTTGAAAGTGAAAGTTGAAGTTGGGTTAAAATTTTAAATTACATTTTTAACCCAACATTTGGGTTTGTCCATATTTGACCCAAATTTGGGTTAAAACAACCCAGCATTGTTTAGAGTGTAGTTCACCCACAATAAAAATGTGTGAGAAAAAAATCCAAGTTTTCAGAGATTTAGTGTCAGTACTACATTAAACTACTATATATAATGTTGAATTTTAGGTATAATAATTCAATGGGTGAATATTTGTGGGTCCTGATAAAGCCAAATGTCTTATGTTACCATTTGGCCTACATTATTTTAAATATAGTCAGTGAAAGAGTGCAAGCATATTCGTCTACAATAATTCTGTATTTTCAGCTTCAGAATCATTTATATATTTTTACTCTGGTTCACTATATTGTCCTGTGCATTGATTTAACACCAGAACGGCCATTTTGAATTATATATCTGCAATAACTTTGCTGAAAAAATAAATAAAATCTGGCTGCTGGTACCTGACTTTTCCTAAAAGTGTCTGTATTTTCATTTCAAATGTTTTTCATATAAATTACACATAAGGCAAAAAACCAACAACAAATGAACATATTTACCTATTTCGGCCATAATTAAAAGGTGAAACTAATATATTTAGTATATATAACTATATACATATGCATGATTATACTTTCAGAGGGCCGACATGTCTGTAATTAAAATCCTTTTTTTTTATTGATTTCATGTAATATTCTAATTTTCAGAGATTTTGAATTTGGGGTTTTCATAAGCTGTAAGCCATAATCATCAAAATTATAACTTTTGCACGATATTCTAATTTTTCATGTTTCACCTGTATCTACATCTATACCAGATTGCAAACTGAAAGACAAGCACTAATGTCGCAAGACGTGTTTTTACCAGTTCCTCTGGAAAAAAAATAAAGTAGCCGAAGAATGTCTGTGGTTTTTGGGTATAGGAAAAGTGTGTTAAGTGTTCATTTTTTGGTGTGCATCTCTGGAGAGAGTGGGTTCCCTCTAGATTCTCTCTTGGTCAACGCTGCCCGCTGTTATTTCATAACCCGATGACCTCAAGACGAGAAGAAGTTATTTTTCAACAAGTTGCATGATTGAACTGCTTAGATAAATTACTCTTTGTGCATCCATTGACCACCCTGGGAACGGATTAGCTGAAGAATCATAATCTGTAACCTTTTATTATTATTTTTTTTAAAGTTTTTATTATGTAACCAAGTATATTTCTCTTTTGTAAATAAACTTTTATTTTATGAAGAAAATACTTCAGTTTTACTTCAGTTGTACAAAGAAAGTTCAATAGCAATAAGATTGTTTCATCTTTGTTCCATCTTCACTGACCAGGACAAAAGGAATCCAGGAAGCTTTCACCGGATGGTAAGGATAAAAGATCTTGAGTCAATGATTGTTATTGTTGTATATGGTGTTAAGGGACAGTCATAGATTTTACTAAAAACTAGCCAAGTGTAGTAAACCTGACCTGACAGCAAAAGGCCACCTAAATAGGGGTTATTCAGGCAAATACCAGATCTCATCACAATGTTGACTATTCTTTTGTTACATTTCCCGCGGTTGACCTTTGTCTCTCTCACTGTCAACAGAATATCTAAATAAGATACTTTTAGTTGTTATTATCTTGTTCTGAGTTATGTTGAATGGATATGGAAATATAGCCTATCTGTTGTGAATATGTGATAATTACGTTAGGCTAATGATATTATTATTTATAAATGTAATTAAACTTATTTTGTTTAAATGTACAGTTTGGTGTTGTTTAGTTTTTAAAAGGTATCCTAATACAATAAATGCATTAATCTCTCAATTGGATATTTATCATTAAAGATGACTGCTTGTGGCACTGTTAACAGCACCAGTACAAGCCTATTCATTTATACCTACAATAACCGATTTACCATTTCAATCAACAGTACATTTTTGTTAACCTTTTACCATAGGCTATGTCTTGAGGCTATCGCAATAATATCGTATCGGGAGTTCAGTAGCCTATCGTGATATGTATAACGGATCGTGACGTATCGTATCGTTACACCCAATAAATAACAATGGCACAACAAGACATCCCAACTGGCAGTCATGTGAAGATACTCAAAGCAACTTGCAATGCCGTTTTTTTTCTGTTTGGACTTAAATGAAAATAAACAGGTGTTATTATTAATATCACAAAGCTTAGCCATAGCCACATTTTTTTTTTTTTTTTTTGCCAGCATACCCAGCGCTTAGGAAACTCTTAAAATTGATGAATTTCTCATGATCTGTCTTTTGTTTATTTTTTTCCTCTTCCTGTAATGTGTTGTCAATAAAGTAGCCTATAAGTGCGTCATTTTAAGTAATTTAAATTCTTTTAAGACAAACCGTGAAACATTCTCTACCGTCCAGTGTGGGTTTTCACGTCGTATGTAACGTTATAGGTTAGAGATGGCGAGCCCACACACGGTGGGCGAACCGTCAATAAGCACCTACCCACGGCTCACGGTGTGTGTGTGTGTGTGTTGAAGCTTTCAGGCCCTCCCTCGCAGTGACGCATACAGAAACGACCAAGGAAATCCCCAAGTGAGAGTTACGACAGACTATAGGCAACTTCCGACTCGCGTTGAACACGGCGTACAAATCGACACAAAAACCAAATACGTGTCGACTGCATCCACACTCCGGACACATACAAGGTAAGGATACGTTTCTTTGTTTTAAATGTGTATATATTACATGTTTCGGCTACATCATAATGTAATGTAAGCGAAAGCTTTGTTGTTGACAAGCGTGAACATACTCAAGCTCATCCGGTGCACGCGAACACTTTCTTCGTCACTTGTGTGTTTACAAGGTGTATATTTAATCCGATTGCTTGTTACTAATGTTATAGATTTCATTATTAAGGGCATATAGGTTATTTGCTTTTTTTTCTTTCGTTTTTCCCCTCCCCAGGTGTTGTCAACACTGGATCCAGTATAGCTGGATTGAGAAACACGCCGTCGCGGAAGTGCACAGCCAAACCAACGAGTTGAGGTCTTTTTTTTATGAATACACCCACCGAAGAACAACAGCAAGAGGTCATGTACGGCATGGCAGAGATGCCCGATCTCATACCACCGACAGGTGCTTTACAACCCAGTCCGGTGATCCCGTACGAGCTCGGACAGGCAGGGCGAACCCGACCAGACCTCCTGTCCGCCCCGCGAAGAGTGCAGCGAGCCCCCAAACTCGGGCAGATCGGGCGCTCCACGAGAGGTGGGTGTTATAATACCCTGTGTTTTTATGTTGACTGGACATGTAGTTACTTGTAGTTAGTTCAAAATCCTTGACCCGAGACCAAAATATCGAAATTAAGGTTTGTTTTTAAAGGGATAGTTCACCCAAAAATGAAAATTCTGCTGTCATTATTACTCTCCCTCATGTCTTTCCAGGTCTGTAAGACTTTCCTTCATCTTCGAAACACAAATTAATATTTTGTATGAAATATGAGAGATTCTGAACCTACGTGGTTCAATAAGTTCATAAAGAGATTGTAAAAATAATTCATATGAATTGAGCGGTTTAGTTCCAAATTTCAAGAGACTCGATCGCTTTATATGATGAGCAGATTTAATTTAGGCTTTTATTCACATATAAACATTTATCAACTCACACATCATAAGTGGAAACCAGAAGCTCAAGCATGTTCACTTGACGTGCGAGAACCAATGAGGTTCATTCTCGTGTTACGCATCATGTTTGAGCTTCAGCAAGAACCAATGAGGTTCATTCTCGTGTTACGCATCACGTTTGAGCTTCTGCAAGAACCAATGAGGTTCATTCTCGTGTTACGCATCATGTTTGAGCTTCAGCAAGAACCAATGAGGTTCATTCTCGTGTTACGCATCATGTTTGAGGTTCCGCAAGAACCAATGAGGTTCATTCTTGTGTTACGCATCACGTTTGAACTTCAGCAAGAACCAATGAGGTTCATTCTCGTGTTACGCATCATGTTTGAGCTTCAGCAAGAACCAATGAGGTTCATTCTCGTGTTACGCATCATGTTTGAGGTTCCGCAAGAACCAATGAGGTTTGTTCTAAAAGCGTAAATTAAATCTGTTCATCATATAAAGTGATCGTGTCTCTTCAGAAATTTTGGACTAAACCGCTCAATTCATATGGATTAGTTTTATGATCTCTTTATGAACTTTTTGAAGCGTTAAAGTGGTAGTTGCGTAGCTGTCAATGGAGGGACAGAAACTCAGATTTCATCAAAAAGATCTTCATTTGTGTTCTGAAGATGAAAAAAAAAGTCTTACGGGTTGGGGGTTGGGGGGGGGTTGGGGGGGGTTGGGGGGGGGGGGGGGGGGGGTGTAGAATTAGGTACAAACTTTTTTAATCTTATTTTAAGATTCCAAACAAATGTCAGATCGTGCCGACATCTTGCCGTCTACACACAGATCATGCCAGCATGTCAAACATTTCAGATGATCTGATGCCGGATCCTGCCAGAAGATATCAGTTTTCTTTTGTCTGGTATCCAAAACCCAGTAACAGCAAGTCGTGTCTGGTTTTCAAAACCAGTGTTTTGTCTTCTACCCCAAACTGTGTTAACAGCCAAGACGTTGAGTGAGAAAGCTAGGGAAGAAGAACTTTACAATGTTAATGTAAAGCCGCGTTTCCACCGCAATTGCCCGGAACAATTTGTCCCAGGAACTTTTTTCCCAGGAACTTTTTTTGCCCCAGACCGGTAGCTTTCTGCGTTTACATCGCGGTCTAAAGTACCGGGTAAACTGCGCGCGACTGCTCATTGCTTGCTTGTGACGGACAGTAGACTGTAAAAGACAGTAATCAGTTTTGAGCGCCACATTTATAATAAATATGGAAGAGATTCACACTGTGCTGCAGTTGTTTGAGATGTATTGGTTTACTAACTAGGTAATTAACAAAACGGCAGAAAAGAGACGAGCACTGATACTAAAGCGTGTTCAGAAAGCTCGTAATGCTAACGTTAGATCTAAAATTAGACAGCGTATGTTATCAGCTATTGCGGACATTGACCGTGAGAAGGCTGGGACGAACGCGCAGAAAATTTCTCTTCCGCAAATACGCTTAATAAAGCCTGAATCTCGTCGTCGGTCCAGCTGCCTTTTTTATTTTTATTAAATTCCATATTTGCAGACAGACAACTCTTACTGCATGGAACTTCATTACTGCATGAAGCCACGAACTGCAATAGATTCTAAAAATTCCGGTTAAAATAAAATGCTGCGCGGAGTTATCCAATCATAATGCGGCGTGAACACAACCAATCAGCATGTTCAGCGCACAAGCCCCACCCGCGAAAGTTCCTGAACTTTGAAAAAGTACTACCTCGCGAGCAGGGACTTTCGGAGGGGGAAATATCTACCCGGAACTTCATTTAGACCCTGGTTCCTGCGGTGTAAACACACCGAGTACCAGGCCAAAGTTCCTAGTTCCTGGGTAAAGTTCCTGCGGTGGAAACGCGGCTTAATGTAATGTAAAAAGAGCGACAGGAGTCATAGTAATAATGATAAAAAATGAACAATTTATTGAATAATCTTAGTTGCACATGTTTCAAAGCTCATCTGACCAGTACAAACCCAACAGATGTAATTATACCAAAGTAAAAGCGAAGGAGAATGACTGTTTCACAACATCGTCCTGTGACGTTAAAAGCTTGAAGACATTCTGTCATCTCTTAGTCATAAAGACAAACAGTCACTGAAACCACAATCAAATGACATGAATAATAATAATAGCTACAAAAAAAGAAAACAGAAGTAAATGTTGTGTTTACATTTTGCTTTGTTGAAGTAACAGGTTGTTATTGAGAATCCTTAGATCCGTCGCGAGCAACATGTTCCCTTTTCTAGTTATTAATAACAATAACTTTGCAGGGAAGTTTGTTGAGCGCACATGATAGTCACCACAAGTCGTAATTACGAGAAAAAAAAAACGTTTAAAGAAAAATAAATGTTTCTGAGATGAGGGTGTCGGTGAGAAAACATGTTGGACTGTTGTACAGAGTTGTACAGAGCAGTCTGTAAATTTGCTAAAATAAAGTAAATAATTATAATTTTTGTTATTTAGGCTACATTAAAACCATGCAAGTTCATGTACAAAATACAAAAGTATTGTTTTTATTTTTTAAAAGAAGTCTCTTCTGCTCACCAAGGCAGCATTTATTAATTGCAAATACAAAAACTACAGTAATATTGTTAAATATTATGACTATTTAAAAGAACTGTTTTCTATTTTAATATATAGTAAAGTGTAATTTACTCCTGTATTTTCAGCATCATTACTCCAGTCTTCAGAGTCACATGATCCTTCAGAAATCAGTCTAATATGATGATTTGATGCTCAAAAATATTAATTATGATTAACTAGTGAAAACTTGAAAATAGTTATGTACAATTTTATTTCAGGATTTTTTGACGAATAGAAAGTTCAAAAGAACAGCATTTATTTGAAATATAATCTTTTGTAACATTATAAATGTCTTTACTGTCACTTTTGATCAATTTAATTCATCCTTGGTGAATAAAAGTATTGATTTCTTTTATTTCTTCCACCAAAAAATTTAAATAAAACTTCTTACTGACCCCAAACGTTTCAATGGTAGTGTTTAGTGTTAGAAAAGCTTTCTATTTCAGATAAATAACTGTTTTCATTATTGATAATAATCCGAAATGTTTCTTGATCATCAAATCATCATATTAGAGTGATTTCTGAAGGATCATGTGACTCTGAAGACTGGAGTAATGATGCTGAAAATACAGCTTTGATCGCAGGAATAAATTACACTTCACTATATATTCACATAGAAAACAGCTGTTTTAACTTGTAATAATATTTCACAATATTATTATTATTATTTTAATCAAATAAATGCAGCCTTGCTGAGCAGAAGAGACTTTTAAAAACATTAAAAATCTTACCGATCCAAAACTTTTGACTGGTAGTGTGTAACGATTCAGTCGGCGGCATATTCATAAACTGTCTATCTTGCGCACCTTATCTCATAAATGCAAACGTCCCAGTAGATCATAATCACTCGTTTCCACTCTGTTGTCAAATGATACATTTGTTGTTTTGCCTTTACAGTGGTTATAGATGACGAGGACTTGGATGATATCATGAACAATAACAGAAGCTTCCCGGCGTCTCGGAGAGTATCACCCGTTGCCTGATGCGTGACTGTGCCAAACGACTGAACCGAACTCAAATCTCACACACACACACACACACTTGTCGTCACCTTCACTGTACAAGCTTTTACAGCTTCCGCCTCTTCGAGGGCGAACGAGAGAACTGTGGACTTGCTTCCGGTTCACTTTACGCTTGCTCGTCACTTAACTGATGTCCGATGATCCTGATGATCTCTAATGCAACAGGGCTATATTTATTAAATTTGCACTTTACAGCAGAATATGAAAGCTAACCTCATCCGGTTGGATTACTCATCTCCCAAAGAGGACATTTTTCCTGTGAAACTCTGTTCACGTGTAACGCGCGAGAAGCCTGTGGTTACCTTGATATCTTTCTCTAAATGACATCAGTTAAATGTAAGGAGTTTTTGTTTAGTCACTGTTTCTATGTGCCTGCTCATGTTTGAATCAAGTACAATCTTAAATGCGTACTGACTGCGACAAACAATCTCATGTTAGTCAAAATGTCTTCGACTTCTAGATGTTTGCATGGGAATTAATGGATTTTTGTAAATTGTTTCTGGGGAATGCGGTGGAATAAAGTATGCATGAGTGACTTTATTGACATTAATGTTTCGATTTTGGGATACTTGAAAAAGGTTTGTTTTTTTAATTGAAAAATTAACTTAAAGTCCCCCTGTAGTCAATAATTTTACCCCTTAAAACTCAATTAATTCATATTTTTATTCATTAAAACTCATCTTTGATCACCAAAACGACATTTAAAAAACAATTTTCTTGAAAAAAAAACAGATAGATAGATATACAGACAGACAGATAGATAGAAGGATAGATAGATAAATAGATAGACAGATAGATAGACAGAAAGTAGGATAGATAGATAGACAGACAGACAGACAGAAAGACAAATAGATAGAAGGATAGACAGACAGACAGACAGATAGATAGACAGACAGACAGATAGACAGAAAGACAGACAGATGGATAGAAGGATAGATAGATAGATAGAAAAACAGACAGACAGATAGATAGAAGGATAGACAGACAGACAGATAGATAGACAGACAGACAGACAGACAGATGGATAGAAGGATAGATAGACAGACAGATAGATAGAAAAACAGACAGACAGACAGAAGGATAGATATTAGATAGACAGACAGAAAGACAAATAGATAGAAGGATAGACAGACAGATAGATAGATAGAAAGAAAAGACAGACAGATAGATAGAAGGATAGACAGACAGATAGACAGACAGACGGATAGACAGACAGATAGATAGAAGGATAGACAGATAGATAGAAAGACAGACAGATAGATAGATAGATTGAAGGATAGACAGACAGACAGATAGATAGATAGATAGATAGATAGAAGGATAGACAGACAGACAGACAGATAGATAGATAGAAGGATAGATAGATAGAAGGATAGACAGACAGACAGATAGATAGATAGATAGATAGATAGATAGAAGGATAGACAGACAGATAGATAGATAGAAGGATAGACAGACAGATAGATAGATAGAAGGATAGACAGATAGATAGAAAGACAGACAGATAGATAGATAGATTGAAGGATAGACAGATAGACAGGCAGATAGATTGAAGGATAGACAGACAGACAGATAGATAGATAGATAGATAGATAGATAGAAGGATAGACAGACAGACAGATAGATAGATAGAAGGATAGATAGATAGAAGGATAGACAGACAGACAGATAGATAGATAGATAGATAGATAGATAGATAGATAGATAGAAGGATAGACAGACAGACAGATAGATAGATAGATAGATAGATAGAAGGATAGACAGACAGATAGATAGATAGATAGATAGAAGGATAGACAGACAGATAGATAGATAGATAGATAGATAGATAGATAGATAGATAGATAGAAGGATAGACAGACAGACAGATAGATAGATAGATAGATAGATAGATAGATAGATAGAAGGATAGACAGATAGATAGAAAGACAGACAGATAGATAGATAGATTGAAGGATAGACAGATAGACAGGCAGATAGATTGAAGGATAGACAGACAGACAGGCAGATAGATAGAAGGATAGACAGATAGAAACACATAGATAGCAAAAAAGAGTGAAATCTTTTATTTCCAGGTTTGAGTAATATTCAAAAATCCCAGATTTCAATATAGATTTGTGTATAATGCAGATTCACGCTGGGAATGTGATAAAGCAAACTTTATTGAAAATAAACATGTAAAACAAATACGTAAACAATCTCCAACTAACAGTGACATTATCATGAAAACATTTATAAGTAAGAGATATTCAGAAGGACTCATGGGTGGTTAAAATGAACATGATGCGGCATTAACACAAGAGATGAGTTAGATAACATCAACGCGTCGTTCATGATCCCATATGAAACACTGCGATTACATATGAGTATTAATAATGTTAGCATTTCAGCTGCTATAGGATAAATACTCCACAAAACAAGCAAATCTTGAAAATCTCCCTCCATTTTGGGCGACTCACACCAGCTCAGTGTGTGTGTTACAGCGCTCCCTAGTGGACAACAGTTATGATCCACCATCCAGACATTTCCTCTCTCTTCTCATAGAGAAAACAAAATATATTATCTATTTTTTATTTGAACTTCTGGACAACTGATTGCCTTTTTTATTTTTTATTATGGGACATTATTGTAAACGGCTTTGCTTCTCAGTTTGAGCAACTCTTGAGCTTCTGAAGCGTCTCAGTGTGTGTGTGTGTTGCTCACACGTACTCTTTGTTGCTGCTGTTGCTGGCAGTGCGTGCGCAGTTGCTTTGGGGATATTTGGACACTTGTTTGCTTCGAGTGCAGGAGGCGGCCAGCATGGCTCCGCCGAGAACATCGAGAAATGAGCCGCCCCACGCTATGAAAATGGCGGCTCCAAACTCAAACCTAACGGTAAAAGATGAAGAGAAAAGACAAGCATTATGACAATGATACATGATTTGAACCGATCTAGATGATAGTACGTGAAACTGAAGGAGAGCTGCGCGATGATGAACTGAGATCACGATTCTGTTGTTGTCTCTGTGTAAATAGAGGTCATGATTCTTCCACGGTTCTGAATAGACAACTAATCAACATTACATGTCATATACTAGAGGTTATGTATATTATATAATGCAGTCTAATTATAAAAGTATTTAATTCATTTGAATTATTTTTTTTAAATCGGTTTGAATGAATGAATGATTCAAAGACTCGCCTATAAAGACTTCACTTGAGACTTCATCTATCTATCTATCTATCTATCTATCTATCTATCTGTCTGTCTGTCTGTCTGTCTGTCTATCTATCTATCTATCCTTCTATCTATCTATCTATCTATCTGTCTGTCTGTCTGTCTATCTATCTATCTATCTATCTATCTATCTATCTATCTATCTATCTATCTGTCTGTCTGTCTGTCTGTCTGTCTGTCTGTCTGTCTGTCTGTCTGTCTGTCTGTCTATCTATCTATCCTTCTATCTATCTATCTATCTATCTATCTATCTGTCTGTCTGTCTATCTATCTATCTATCTATCTGTCTGTCTGTCTATCTATCTGTCTGTCTGTCTGTCTGTCTGTCTGTCTGTCTGTCTGTCTGTCTGTCTGTCTGTCTGTCTATCTATCTATCTATCTATCTATCTATCTATCTATCTATCTATCTATCTATCTATCTATCTATCTGTCTGTCTGTCTGTCTGTCTATCTATTTGTCTATCTGTCTGTCTGTCTATCTGTCTATCTATCTATCTATCTATCTATCTATCTATCTATCTATCTATCTGTCTGTCTGTCTGTCTGTCTGTCTGTCTGTCTGTCTGTCTGTCTGTCTGTCTGTCTATCTATCTATCTATCTATCTATCTATCTATCTATCTATCTATCTATCTATCTATCTATCTGTCTGTCTGTCTGTCTGTCTGTCTGTCTGTCTATCTATTTGTCTATCTGTCTGTCTGTCTATCTGTCTATCTATCTATCTATCTATCTATCTATCTATCTATCTATCTATCTATCTGTCTGTCTGTCTGTCTGTCTATCTATCTATCTATCTATCTATCTATCTATCTGTCTGTCTGTCTGTCTGTCTGTCTGTCTGTCTGTCTGTCTGTCTGTCTGTCTGTCTGTCTGTCTATCTATCTGCCTGTCTGTCTGTCTGTCTATCTATCTGCCTATCTGTCTATCTGTCTTTCTGTCCGTCCATCCATCTTTTTTTTGTATTATAAAACAATTTCACCAATTTCGCATTTGTCTAACCAAAAACGGCATACGGTAAGAATGAAAATGTAAAAATGAACAATATGACATAAACAGAGAACATGTACTCATTTATCTGAACAAGTAGGCAATGACACAAATTTATAGTATAAAGCAGTCAACTAATTTTTGGCACAAATGAAACCTCATATACATGTACTATATAACTGCATTCTATCTAGGGTGTTTCTCATCCCTGTTCCTGGATTCTCCCCGACAGACACTGCACATTTGGGATGTTTCCCTAATCTAACACACCAAATTCTTCTCGTAAACACCAGCAGAAGAGCTCCGAGAACTGAAATGGGTGTGTCGGATAAGGGAGACTTTCAAAATGTGTCTTTTTGGGTGACCTCCAGGAACAGAGTCGGGACACTCTGCTCCTGAAATTGTGCAAAGTAAAATTCCTTGCGCTCACTTGGTGTTGACTGGAGTGAAGGGGTTGTAGAAAGCTCGGATCACGTTGTGGGCGAACCAGGAGCAGGCGACCACTGCGCACAGGGCTGGAGGAACCAAACACACAGAGGCTTTCAGAGAAACGACAGAAGATTCTTTCATTTTTTGATATATATCATCAAAGCATTGGCCGCCCTGTTTTCTGTGATGTCCACTGACCTACAGACTGAGCCACACACACACACAGACCCACACACACACACACACACACACACTGACCCACAGACTGAGCCACACACACACACACAGACCCACACACACACACACACACACTGACCCACAGACTGAGCCACACACACACACACACTGACCCACAGACTGAGCCACACACACACACAGACCCACACACACACACACACACACACTGACCCACAGACTGAGCCACACACACACACACACTGACCCACAGACTGAGCCGAGACTGATGTTACATAAGAGATGCTTTACTGTAAACTTGCTTCAGTTAGCGTGAACAGTCCCAGTATTCTCACTCACTCACACACACAGACACACACACACACGTTTGTTTTGCTATACCTTCCATAGGCGTAATGGTTTTTATACTGTACAAACTATCCCCACTAATCCTACCCATCACACACACACACACACTAACCCGACCCCTAAACCTACTCATCACACACACACACACACACACACACACACACACACACACACACACACACACACACACACACACACACACACACTAACCCGACCCCTAAACCTACTCATCACACACACACACACACACACACACACACACACACACACACACACACACACACACACACACACACACACACACACACACACACACACACACACATACTAACCCGACCCCTAAACCTACCCATCACACACACACACACACACATTAACCCCACGCTTAAACCTATCCATCACACACACACACACATTAACCCGACGCCTAAACCTACCCATCACACACACACACACACACACACACACACACTAACCTGACGCCTAAACCTACTCATCACACACACACACACTAACCCGATGCCTAAACCTACCCATCACACACACACACACACACTAACCCGACCCCTAAACCTACTCATCACACACACACACACACACACACACACACACACACACACACACACACACACACACACACACACACTAACCCGACCCCTAAACCTACTCATCACACACACACACACACACACACACACACACACACACACACACACACACACACACACACACACTAACCCAACACCTAAACCTACCCATCACACACACACTAACCCAACACCTAAACCTACCCATCACACACACACACACACACACACATACTAACCCGACCCCTAAACCTACCCATCACACACACACACACACACACACACATTAACCCGACGCTTAAACCTATCCATCACACACACACACACATTAACCCGACGCCTAAACCTACCCATCACAGAAAACTATGCATTTTTACATTTTTAATAAAACACTGTTTCGTATATTTTTAAAGCCATTTTAAATACGAGGACTCAGGGAATGTCCTCATAAATCACACACACACACACACACACACACACACACACACACACACACACACACACACACACACACACACACACACACACACACACACACACTCACCTCCCACTAGCAGTATGATGCCTCCCGTCACGGCCGTGCGAGACTTGCGCACTTTATCATCCGCTCCACAGGTGGTGCACTTCATGCCCATGCAGGCGACGCCGAGGCCGCTGATGGACACGATGATGCCCACGATCATCAGGGCGCGGGTCGCTTGAAGATCACCTGCAGGACACGGCACAGACGGGCACAGGTGTCAAACTACTCTCACACCGCGTGTCCAGACAACTGTACAACAACTGTCAGTCATGCAAATGGATAAACCACCAGGAAAAACATGGCAAATAAATCAGTTAAATATTACATTGGCATTATTTATAATATTATAAATAAATTAAACTGTACATGAATTGTGAGATCCTCTTCACTACAATCAGTCCAGGAAATGTTAAATAAATCAGTAAATATTATAAATAATAAATGACCATAATAAAATTAATTTAATACAATGAATTATATAAATATATATATATATATATATATTATAATACTTATAATTAAAATTGCCCAAAACTACCAAAAATAGCTGTTAAATAATTCAGTTTAATAATAACATTAATAATAATGACAATAATAGCTTAAATAAATGTTAGTTTAGTGTATTATTACTTGGTAAATACTATAAAAATAATGACAATAACTTAATATTAAACAATATTCAAGTTACTTAATATTAAATTATTATTATTTTATTATTAAATTATTATTATTTATAGTATTAAATATACCAAAATTGGCCAAACCACCAGGAAATAGCTTTGAAATAATTCAGTTTAATATTATTATTAATAATAATAATAACAATAATAACTTAAATAAGTTATACTTTAGTAAATTATTACTTTGTAAATGTTATAAATAATAATAATGACAATAATAACTTAATATTATACAATAAATTATAAAACTCCTCAATATTAAATTATTATTTATAATATTAAATATAACAAACCAACAGGAAATAGGTGTAAGTTTTCTATATTTTAATATTAAATATAATTATAAGAATAAGTTCATATTATTTATGGTATTGAATTAAAACAAAATTAATTAAAATTCTTGCTAGGGAGTCGCTAAAGTGACAGAGGGTCTGGAAAAGTCTAGAGAAAAACTAATAATATTAATAAAATAATAATAATTCGATTAAAATAAAATAGTAAAGCAATAAATTAGGTATACAAATGTGATAAAAAAATAGTAGTTACAAATCTATTAAATTAAATTTAAATAAATAAAATAAAACTGTATTAATATAAACTAATTTAAATTAGTTTAAAATTAAATAAACAAAAAATAAACAATACATACAGTGAGTAGAACAAAAAATATAATAATGTAACTGAAACTAATTTTAGATTTATAATGTTATTTTTTAATGTGTATAAATTGGTCGTTTACAAAAGACAGATGCCTTATTCATTTTAGGTTGGGGGTCCTTCACACAGGGATGATCATATGTGGGGGTCCGTGGGCAATTCAGCCGAACGAGTGAACAAGAAGCATTCCAACAAGAACCAGTCTGTGCCAGTGCATTCCTGTACATGTGCACACAAAACCAACCGAGAGAGAGAGAGAGAGAGAGAGAGAGAGAGAGGAGGTATAAAAACAGAAAGTTTGAGAGGCAGGGGTGCAGGCTGTAGTGAAGCGGAAGAATTATTCCTCTCCTTTCTTCATTAAAACACAATAAGGCGTCTCCTGCCAGGCACAGAGAACCGCGAGCTGAGGAATTCAGAGGGTCACCCTTCATCCCCCTGTTTTCTCTCCTGCTCCTCCCTCCATCCTAACTCAACCTGCTGTCAGGTGCGGTTTGGGCTGGTTTCGACTGGAAGTGTCCCGCAGTTTTCTCAGAACTGACCCCTGAGGTTCTGCACAGTAAATACATCAATTCAAGGAGCTAAATCACATGTTTGGAACAGTTTACGTTAATCCGCAGAGTGTTTCTGCACGCTGGATCGTGAGGTTGTGGTTTTCCCATCCCAGTCCTTGGGGAATCCATGCAGGGAATGTTTCAGGAACAGCCCATACACTGAAACACTCAAGTGAATGAATAAACTCATAATTCATTACTGGTAGTTCAGTGTGGTAATAAAAAAATACTTTGGCAGCTCTAGGAACAATGGGTTACAGGCTCACTCGAAAAAAAATATTTTTCTACCCAAATCCTGGGTTGAGCCTTTTGGGTCATTTTTTTGGGTTATTTTTTCAGTATTTGGGTAGTTTTTGTGTTACCCAGCTCCTGGGTCGGACGTAACAACCCAGCGTTTGGGTTGTTTTCTTGTGTTACCCAGCTCCTGGGGCGGACGTAACAACCCAGCGTATGGGTTGTTTTCTTGTGTTACCCAGCTCCTGGGTCGGACGTAACAACCCAGAGTTTGGGTTGTTTTCTTGTGTTACCCAGCTCCTGGGGCGGACGTAACAACCCAGCGTATGGGTTGTTTTCTTGTGTTACCCAGCTCCTGGGTCGGACGTAACAACCCAGTGTTTGGGTTGTTTTCTTGTGTTACCCAGCTCCTGGGTCGGACGTAACAACCCAGTGTTTGGGTTGTTTTCTTGTGTTACCCAGCTCCTGGGTCGGACGTAACAACCCAGTGTTTGGGTTGTTTTCTTATGTTACCCAGCTCCTGGGGCGGACGTAACAACACAGCGTTAGGGTTGTTTTCTTGTGTTACCCAGCTCCTGGGTCGGACGTAACAACCCAGCGTTTGGGTTGTTTTCTTGTGTTACCCAGCTCCTGGGGCGGACGTAACAACCCAGCTTATGGGTTGTTTTCTTGTGTTACCCAGATCCCGGAGCATGACGTAACAACCCAGGGTTTGGGTTGTTTTCTTGTGTTACCCAGCTCCTGGGTCGGACGTAACAACCCAGTGTTTGGGTTGTTTTCTTATGTTACCCAGCTCCTGGGTCGGACGTAACAACACAGTGTTTGGGTTGTTTTCTTATGTTACCCAGCTCCTGGGTCGGATGCAACAACCCAGTGTTTGGGGTTATTAATCGCGGGCTATTAGCGACCTCTTCAGGAGAGAGAGAAGTGCAGCTCCATCACAATGGTGCATGTCTTCGGTAAAATACAGTTGTGTGTACATTTTATTACATAAATTCGTTATTGTTCTGTATATCGTTTAATCTTATGCAAAGCAACATAACAGGGGCGCGATGCGAGTCACCTAAACGAGTGCCGCGTCGCTTTTTTTTATCGTGATGGGAACGCCTGATGCCTTGCTTAAAATGTTATGATTTTATTCAAAAAGATACAGAATATAAATACGTATGATGTTAAAACATGTTCTCAGATCTGTACACCGTTTGTTTATGGACCGGTTATGGAGTCAGTCGCATATTTCGGCCACGAGTGAAACGCAGGGGCGGCGGTCTGAAGTTAAAAGTTCCCTATTACACTTGAATTACTTATTAATGTTTCATTTAAAAATAATTTTTAATTTCTAATATTTTTTAAACAAGCTTAAATGTTGGCAATATTTATTAAAAATGATATTTAAGTTAATCTGTAGACATTAATTCATGTATGAAGTAAATAAAAGCAACACCAAAAAAGCTAGTATTATAGTAAAAATGAATGAACTATGCTGGGTTAAATAAACAACAACTCAATTTTCTGGGTAAAATTAACCCAATATGTGTTCTGTCCTATATTTACCCAGCCCTTGGGTTGAAAACAGCCCAAAAGTGGGTTGTTTTTTAACCCAGAGTTTTTTTAGCGTACTGCTTTCACCATGGCTGCCTGTCCTGCCTGGTTACATTACAGGAATACAGTAGATTCACACACACACACTGGCGAGGCCAGCATCCATTAATCAAGCGCTGGCTGGGAATGACACAGTGTTTATTTGAGTGTGTGTGTGAAGAGTTGGAAACTGGCTTGATATGCCAGAGAATTCCAATAAACACCTACTTACTGTATAGATTTATAGTAAATTAAAGGACAGGCCTCTTAATCAGTATGTATAATAATAATAATAATAATATTTATTTATATAGCGCCTTTCCATTGATCAAGGACCCTTAGGCTATATAGAGGCTATAATGAATCCCATGTGATATATTTTGATCACTGGAAATATCTACATTTAAATTGATATTTATTGACTTTCAATCACCTGGTTGATTTACATGTGGATGTACAGCCCATTATAAGTAACATACTAAACAGATATACTATAAATAGGTAACATTAATCAACAACCATTATTTTCTCACCCTCAAGTTGTTACAAACCTGTATGAATTTCTTTCTTCTGCTGAACACAAAAGAAGATACTTGGGTAACCAAACAGTTTTTGGACCCCATTGACTTTCATAATACGGGGAAAAATACTATGGGAGTCAATGGGGTCCATCAAATGTCTAGTTACAGACATTCTTCAAAATATCTTCTTACGATATTCTAAAGAAATTCATAAAGGTTTAGAACAACTTGAGGGTGAGAAATATTTTTTTTTTTGATGAACCATACTTTTTAGGGGGAATCAATGTGTATGTGTATAAAAACATATGATATAAAACTTTTTGCAATATATGATTTACATTAACTTACTTTAACTCATCAAAATAATGTAAGTAAGTTCAACTCGATTTTTAAGTGTAAATGACTTGCACTGTCAAATTGAGCATAATAAAAAAAATTATCCCCGCCACTGAACTGACATTTTTAAGTTGAAACAGATGGATTTTTTTTTATTATTTTTTTACAGTGCGTGTGAGAGACATGCGACACACGGGCGGACGGACACAGAAAGATAGATAGATGTAAAGAAAAAAAACTAGAATAACATGTTTTAACTCACTGTCTAGTTGTAGAATGGAGTCGTATATTTTGCACTGAAGCTGCCCGGTGCTCTGAAACGCGCAGGACATCCACAGCCCCTGGTAAGTGGCGACCGCCGTGATGATACTGTCCCCCACATACGCGGACATCTTCCACTGCGGCAGGACGGTGCCCACGATCAGCCCGATGATGCCCACCAGAGACAGACCAAACCCCAGCAACTGAACGCCCGAGTTTGCCATAGTTGTCACTTAAATGGCAAGCTGAGCAACAGTTAGCAATACACTCGACTGACTCGGATACTCCTGTCTCCTGTCCCGCACCTGTAACTGTCTCTCTGAGGAACCGAGTAAACTCAAACTGATGAGGGGAAAGTAGGCTACTCAACTCTCCACGACGAAAACTAGCAGTCACTAACTCACTCACTCGCGGGGTTTGTTTGTACCTCGACGGAGAGATGTCAACTAAGTGTTGCGTAAAATACTGATGACGGAGTGTAATCTCGAGGGAATGAGGGGGTAACGGGCGCGTGCGCGCGCGATGCCCGTGCCTGTCGTGACGTCACGTCACGCAGAATCACTCGCATCACTGAATGACGGTTTAAACCTTTGTTACTCTTCTACTACTAGATGAAGTTTGTTTTCTCTATAACATATTCTCCAATCAAGACATGCGTATTCTCCAATCAAGACTCCAATTAAACCTTTGTTACTCTTCTACACAACTAGTTTGTTTTCTCTATAACATATTCTCCAATCAAAGTGTCTCTAATATGGACGCCCGTTTCCGTCACATAGGAAAGTCATTTATGACATAAAAAGTAATATTATGACATAAAAAGCCAAAGTTGTGAGAAAATAGGCTACATCAAAATCGTGAAATAAAAAGTCATAGTTATGCTGGCATCCCAGACAGCAACTGTGGGCCGGATCCGGGCCACATCTGGTAGGCTACTGCATTCAATGTGTACCAGATGTGGGCCGGATCTGGGCTGACACTATGATGCTGTCTGGGATAAAAAGTCAATTATAATTTACAGAAACAAGTTGTTTTTTCTTACATGGCAGAAATAGACCTTTCTCAGCAGCACCATATTTGACTTTTACCGGGAAGTGCAGGAATGAAAGCGAGGCTGTGAAAGCTCTCGGATTTCATCAAAAATATCTTATTATAAAACGGTTAGTGCTTGATTCTGATTGGTTGAGCCGCGTTCGAAGCCGTCGTAAATTACTCGACAAACATACACCCGTGACCGCATTACATTAGTATTACTGCGCAACTGCCGTTTGTGATTCTTTGTTGCTGCATGTGTTGCTTAGCAACCTCTTTGGAACTACATTGCTTGGCGGAATAAATGTGTTATAACGTTAAATTATGTTTTGTTGCTGCCGGTGTTTATTTTTTGAATAAAATAAATATTAAAATGAATATTTTTATGGAGTAACCGTTTTATAAAAGCAATAAGCCCATTGAAGCCGTGTTTTACAGTGGATTTAGAACAGCTAAGGGGCGTTGTTAGGCACGATGTGGAGTAGAGAATTTAAATGACAGAATTAAAATTTTTGGGTGAACTATCCCTTTAAAACAACAACAACTATTATTATAATTATATTATAGCAATATATATTTTAGCTAAAATATACATGTATTAATAGTATTAATGTTTTAAACTACATTAATAGATTCCAGAAACCTTTTTTTTTCTTTTACTTATTGGTGCCTATAAAAGCTTCACATGTAGGCCTAATATTTAAAGTCCCCTGTAGTCAATAATTTTATCCCTTAAAACTCATCTTTGATCACCAAAATTACATATTTAAACTTTTTTCTTAAAAAATTCATGCCTTAAAATAGCTTGAATGTAACTCGACACTCTTGCTTCATTTAGTATACACGGTTCTATGAATATGCAAACGAGCCCCGCCTCCACTCACTCACACCAGCTCAGAGATCCACTCGTTGACCAAAGACAGTATAAGAAGTGGACAGAGCCATCTCATTGGAACTCACACTCAAAAAAATGATATGTTGGCTTTACTTAACTTTTTTTTGTAAACAGGTTCCACCGGTTCCACATAACTATGTTTCGTTAAACAAACATAATATGTTCATGTAACTTCAACATCATGGAATTTGGTCATTTTAAGCGACCCAATTAAACTCTGAGCTAATGAGTTAATTAAGTGAATAATTGAGTGATGATTGAGCATTATTGAAGACACCTGATGATAACAAGCAGAATCACTGAAGGAGAAAACCGGAATGTTTAAGTCACCATTATGGAGATAAGTATTTGTTTTGGTTGGGCTCTTGACCATTAACTTATTAACTTTAGATTTTGTTTGGTTGCTGTACATGAGTTATAACAGCCGGATGAACAATAAACAAAGGTTATCTGATGGTATTGGTTGTGTTTTAACATAATCATTATTTCATAATCATTTGACCTGAGTCACTGAACTTATATTAAACCGAATTTCTGAGTTAAGTTTACTTTATGGATAATAACAGCACTGTCATTGTAGAGCATACTATTTTTTTGACTTTTCAATGAAATTCAAATGATCAAATCAATAAATAAAAAAGAAACTTCCTAAAAAATATTTCCAGTAGACACACACAGACATCAAGAATCACTCTGTAAATCTCACCAATGGTGACAATTATAAAGCATGTTGTAGTGCATTCTGGGTGCCACCAATCAAAACTCATTCATGGCTCCCATCATGCATTGCTGCATGAATAAATAATGAGCTTATGATCTGTTTGTCACCATTGCTGAGATTCATATGCTGATTCTTGATGTCTGTGTGTGCCTACTCTATCTATTTTTTTTAGGAAGTTTCTTTTTTATTTCTTGATTTGGTCATTTGAATTTCATTGAAAAATCTAAAAATAGTATGCTCTACAATGACAGTGCTGTTATTATCCATAAGGTAAACTTAACTCAGAAATTCGGTTTAATATAAGTTCAGTGACTCAGGTCAAATGATTGTGAAATAATTATTATGTTAAAACACAACCAACACCATCAGATGACCTTTGTTTGTTGTTCATCCGGCTGTTATAACTCATGTACCGCAACCAAACAAAAACTAAAGTTAATAAGTTAATGGTCAAGAGCCCAACTAAAACGAATACTTATCTCCATAATGGTGACTTAAACATTCCGGTTTTCTCCTTCAGAGATTCTGCTTGTTAACATCAGGTGTCTTCAATAATGCTCAATCATCACTCAATTATTCACTTAATTAACTCATTAGCTCAGAGTTTAATTGGGTCGCTTAAAATGACCAAATTCCATGATGTTGAAGTTACATGAACATATTATGTTTGTTTAACGAAACATAGTTATGTGGAACCGGTGGAACCTGTTTACAAAAAAAAGTTAAGTAAAGCCAACATATCATTTTTTTGAGTGCAGTTGAGACAGTTGAAGCCCATTTTTAGCGATTTTTGAGCACTTCCGTTCCTGACGCGCAGACTCAAACCGACTCAAACTAAGCTTGATGACGTGAGCAACCTGTCTGACAGACGTTAATCTTCTAGTAGCTGTGCGTGAAAATTGCCAACGTTAATCTTGCAGAGACGGGGAACTTGAGCAAAGAGTTCTTTGGCGTGAGTGAGCAGGAGTAAGTATTCCGTTGCTTTTATGGGCTCATTATCTATGGGCTTCTCCCTTGACGGGACGTCCCCCCGATTGCCTGCGAGCTTCTCCTCCTGTCTGTACGGTAATTTCTGTACAGCGCGACAGAGAGTCGAGTGGTTATGACGCAATCGTTAGCCTACTTTTACTAAATCTGTTTCTACGGGGCCATAATGTAACATAGATTAATAATGGACAAATGGAGTCTTTAAACGCCTCAGATGTAAAGTTATTCGCTGTCAAAGTGACGCCAAAATGAATGGGAGTCAATGGAAATGCTAACGCAAGTGAAGTTCTGCTACAAGATGGCGGCACCCGGCCGGCTTCATCTTCCGGTCGATGGATTACCCCCTTGGCGTTGACGTTCACACGTTGATCTGATTGGTTACAAGCTAGTGTGTGACGTCAGAAACACCAGCGATTTCAAACAGTGTTTTTGAGACTGTCTTTGGGTCACTGCAGTTTTAAGGAGAAAATACTCAGCAATGCTGTCGACTTATGAGTTTACACATGATTTGTCTTAAAGCATATTAAAAACACCACATAGACTGATAAACAACACGAAAAAGCTGGATTTTCACCACAGGGGGACTTTTAATACAGTTGCTATTGCCTAATCAGTCCCTGAACCCCCAACTTAGATCTGTAAGTCCCTTTCATGAGGCACGTTTGTCACGTCTGAACACTTCATCAGGTGACCTCTGCACTTCCAGTGAAAGGCCTGGAACACTGTCAACTATTGTTTGCAGGACAAAGTTGGCGCCAATGTTACAATATTCTCACCAAGGTAAAGAGGAAATACCTTTAACCAGAGAGAAAGTAGAGCGGAAGCAATAATGCTGTTGGAAGAGGAAATGCTTTTCACTCCAGAAAATGTCCGTGTAACACCCTGACATATATGAAGTTTTGCGTTTGATGGTTGTGTGAAGGTTTCTAAAGTTAACTCATAAGATTTAAAGTAGGGCTGTGCAACGATTAATAGCATGCAAAATAAAAGTTTGTGTATTCATAATATATGTGTGTGTACTGTGTATAATTATTTTGTATATATAAATACACACACATGTACTGTATGTATATATTTAATAAAAATGTGTCATTTAAATATAAAATATGTATAAATATATATATACAGTATATAAATGGAAAGCTTTCTTAAATATATACATGCATATGTGTGTATTTATTTATATATACAAAATAATTATATACAGTACACGCACATTATGTGTAAACAAACTTTTATTTCGGATGCGATTAATCATTGCACAGCCCTACTTAGTCAGAAATTTGTTATCATAATTCTGATGTGTAGGAGAAGGGGAATAAGAGTTGGAAGATAGGAGAAAGGATCGGATTTGCTTCAGTAACATCTTGAAATCAGCACACACTCCCCCGGTCACCCCTGGAAACGTGATTTATCCGTCACCCTATTGGCCGGTTCTCGAGCACTGGGGCCAAAAAGCCTTGACACACAAAAGAAACTTTAACGTTTTTTTCCGAAGCTTCTGTCCCCACCTAGTTCCAGTAAACAGAAAACACTCGGTAAAGGGGGAGCAGACAGTGCTAAATCAGCCCGAAGAAGAACAGAAAGCCCTTCATGGCTCCTCTTCTGACTGGCTCCGGGGCTTTTTGTGTGTGAAGATTATAGACAGTGAAAAAAGCCGAGATTAAACTGGTGTAAGCCGCCTTAGACGCCCACCGATCCGTTAGCAATAAAACACACCGGCCTCTGGTTTCTCCTCAGAAGCAGCGACTCCACTAATGAGCTTTCCACATTTCATTATTTCTTACCTCTTTCTTTTACTTCTCATGCAACTAGGTGCCTTTACACGAATGTAGTGTCCAACCTGATGTAATCGAGGAATTCAATTGATATATGCCGTTTAAATAAATGCAAACAAACTACATACACAAAAGCTGATTAACCCTTGATAAATGAATTAATAGTTTCTTTTTTGCTTCAAAACAAGTATAATTTGGATGTTTTTGAAAGAAGTATGTTATGCTCACCAAGGCTGCATTTATTTGATCAAAAAATACATTAAAAACAGTGAAATATGAACACAATTTAAAATAGCAGGTTTCTATATGTGGATATATTTTAAAATGTCATTTATTCCTGTGATCAAAGCTGAATTTTCTTTACTCAGTGTCACATGATCTTCAGAAATCACTCTAAAATGCTGATGCTCAAGAAACATGTCTGATTATTATCAGTTGAAAACCGCTGTGCTGCTTAATGTAATGCAGTTTTTTTAGGATTCTTGAACAAACAAATAAATGACAAAAAACAATTAAATAAAAAAGACAATTTACAGGCTCTCTCTGTTTTATGAACACTAGATCAAGAAAAAAAAGAAAGAAAAGAAAATAGGTTGTTCAGACTACGCCATGAATAAAAACAGTTAAAAAACAGCTATTCTTAAAGGTATATTAAATATAATGACCTAAATGCAGTATGTAATAAGTAAAGAGCACAGAATTATTGATTATAAGCGTAGTGGATGAATTGAGAGAATTTGACAATAACAAAATATATTGTCATGGAAACATATATATATATATATTATCAACAAATCGAAACATTAATTTAGGAAGGGAGAAAGAAAGAAAGAAAGAAAGAAAGAAAAAGAAAGAAAGAAAGAAAGAAAGAAAGGAGGAAAAGGAAGGAAGAAAGGAAGGACAGAAAGGAAGAAAAAAAAGGAAGGAAGGACAGATGGATCGAAAGAACTGGAAGGAAAGGAAGGAAGTAAGCAAGGAAGAAATGACGGACAGAAGGAAAGAAGGACAGATGGATGGAAAGAAATGGAAGGAAAGGAAAGACTTATGAAAGGAAAGAAAGGATGGACGGAAAGAAACTGAAGGAAAGGAAGGACAGCTGGAAGGAAGGAATGAAAGAAAAAAAAAAAGAAAGGACGGAAGGAAAAAACGGATGGATGGAAAGAAATGGAAGGAAAGAAAGAAAGAAAGAGAAAGAAAAGGAGGAAAGAAGGAAGGATGGACAGACAGAAGGAAAAGCTGGATGGACGGAAATAAACATAAGGAAAGAAAAGAAGAAAGGAAAGAAAGAAAGGAAAGAACTGGAAGGAAATGAAGGAAGTAAGCAAGGAAGAAATGACGGACAGAAGGAAAGAAGGACAGATGGATGGAAAGAAATGGAAGGAAGGGAAAGACTTATGGAAGGAAAGAAAGGATAGAAAGAAACTGAAGGAAAGGAGGGACAGATGTAAGGAAGGAAAGAAAGAAAGAAAGAAAGAAAGAAAGAAAGAAAGAAAGAAAGAAAGAAAGAAAGAAAGAAAGAAAGGACGGAAGGAAAAACCGGATGGATGGAAAGAAACGGAAGGAAAGAAAGAAAGAAAGAAAGAGAAAGAAAAGGAGGAAAGAAAGAAGGAAGGACAGACGGAAGGAAAAGCGGGATGGACGGAAATAAATGGAAGGAAAGAAAAGAAGAAAGGAAAGAAAGAAAGGAAAGGGAGGAAAAAAGGAAGGAAGGACAGACGGGAGGAAAAAAGGAAGGAAGGACAGACGGAAGGAAAAGCGGGATGGACGTAAATAAACGGAAGGAAAGAAAAGAAGAAAGGAAAGGGAGAAAAGAAAGAAGAAAGGATGGACAGATGGAACACGGAAGGAAGGAAAAGCGGGATGGACGGAAAGAAACGGAAGGAAAAGATGGACAGAAGGAAGGAGGGAAAGAAAGAAAGGGAGGAAGAAAGAAATAAAGTGTGGAAGGAAGACAGACAGAGAGAGAGAGAGAGAGAGAGAGAGAGAGTACTCTCTGGCGCCCCCTGGAGTCCCTGTGGTGTGTGTTCAGTGTGTCGGATGTTGGATCAGGGATGTGCTCATGGAAAAGGCTGGTCAGGAGTGAGGTTGAAACTGGCATCCAGAAACATGGCCAGTGTTCCCAGTGAAGTGATGATGACAAAGAGCCAGAAGAAGAGCCGATCCAAAACCACAGCGATGTACTGCCAGTCATCCGTCATCTACACACACAACGGGACATGTTTATCTCCCTGACACACTGATGATGAAGAATCATGAGCATCAGAGGAAGAGCCTCAGATAAAGCTTTCTTTGTGTTCCTGTGTGTGGAAAAGAGAGATGGAAGGTGTGTGTGTGTGTGTTTATAGACTTACAGTATCATCCACATCCTGTTTCTTCAACTGTTCGGACATGTAATTGATGGCGGCGATTGCAGATTTGAGATTCGGGGGCAGAATCAGACAATAGTTGTCACTGTTTGAGAACCTCTGCAACTTCACAGTGCTCTCATTATGACTAAAACACACACACACACACACACACACACACACACACACACACACACACACACACACACACACACACACACACACACACACACACACACACACACACACACACACACACAAATAAAGAATAATTAACCCTAAACATTAACACAACTCAAATTACTGTAAGTGGATTGTTAAAATATATGACAATTATCATGAAAGTCCCCCTGTAGTCAATATTTTTATCCATTAAAGCTCATCTTTGATCACCAAAACGACATATTACGTTTTTTTTCTTTGAAAAAATTCTTCATGCCTTAAAATAGCTTGAATGTAACTCGACACCCTTCCCTCATTTACTATACGCGGTTCTATGAATATGCAAATGAGCCCCGCCTCCACTCACTCACTCAGCTCAGAGATCCACTCGTTGACGATCACACGTTGATCTGATTGGTTACAAGGTAGTATGTGACGTCAGAAACACCAGCGATTTCAAACCGTATTTTTGAGACTGTCTTTGGTCCACTGCAGTTTTAAGCAGAAAATACTCAGCAATGCTGTCGACTTATGAATTTTACACATGATTTGTCTTAAAGCATATTAAAAACAAGTATGAGAAATAGTGCATCACTAATACATGTATAGCATTGTGCAGTCCTGTAATTGTACAGTAGCGAGAGCATTGCAGAGGTTAGTATTGTGTTGCTGTGTGCTATAGTGGGAATGAATGAGAGCTGTGCTGTGTCTGGGACTGACCTCTCCTCTCTCTCACATTCCCATTCTTTCAAGGGTGAGCTTTTTCCAACAGGGATTATACAGAGAGCACCACACGTCCGGCACATGACATGCGTGGTCAATGAGATGCACACTGGTATAGACAGGAACTCATACAAGCGCTTGTTTCCACACACTGAATGCTTTTGCTGTAAGCACACCTAATTATACAAAGACACATCCTGACATGATTGCACACACAGACCTTCACGCTACACAAACAAAGCACATACATTCAACACAGATTACTATTGCGCTAACAACTCTTCCATCGGTTTCTTCAGGCAGTTAAATGAACATAGAGGCGCGTTTCCATTACAGATTTGTGTAAAACTTTTGTGATTTTTTCTAAATGTCGATAAAAAACTATTGCGAAATGACGGCGTTTCCATTAACCGATGTTATGCGAGTAAAACGTCATTTTTCCCTCTCGCGATCAGTCATTCCAAAAATCAAGGCAACGGACGTTAGGTTTATATATATCAGAGCCACCGCACTAGACATTATTATTATTAATGGAAGGAGACGCAGGCGTGTTATCCAAGCATTAAAGCGTTAGTTCACCCAAAAATGATGTCATTAATGACTCGCCCTCATGTCGTCCCAAGCCCGTAAGACCTCCGTTCATCTTCGGGACACAGTTTAAGATATTTTAGATTTAGTCCGAGAGCTCTCTGTCCCTCCATTGTAAATGTATGTACGGTATACTGTCCTTGTCCAGAAAGGAAATAAAGACATCATCAAAGTAGTCCATGTGACATCAGTGGGTTAGTTAGAATGTTTTGAAGCATCGAAAATACATTTTGGTCCAAAAATAACAAAAACTACGACTTTATTCAGCATTGTATTGTCTTCCGGTTCTGTTGTGGATCCGCGTTCAGTGCCGCTGCTGACGTGTGTCTGGTGCGTCCGTGTATTCGGGTTCAAATAAATATCGCTGGGCAAAAAAATCCAAGTCTTCCTCAGTGTGGAAATCCTTAGACATGTTTGTGAAGATTGTTTTGTTTCCAGCGTGCGTCTCCCTCAGACTGTAAACGAAGCTCGGGCGCACCAGACACACGTCAGCAGCGGCACTGAACGCGGATCCACAACAGAACCGGAACACACACACACACACACACACCAGACACACGTCAGCAGCGGCACTGAACGCGTTTTCCCCCTCCCCAGGTGTTGTCAACACTGGATCCAGTATAGGTGGATTGAGAAACACGCCGTCGCGGAAGTGCACAGCCAAACCAACGAGTTGAGGTCGTTTTTTATGAATACACCCACCGAAGAACAACAGCAAGAGGTCATGTACGGAATGGCAGAGATGCCCGATCTCATACCACCGACAGGTGCTTTACAACCCAGTCCGGTGATCCCGTACGAGCTCGGACAGGCAGGGCGAACCCGACCAGACCTCCTGTCCGCCCCGCGAAGAGTGCAGCGAGCCCCCAAACTCGGGCAGATCGGGCGCTCCACGAGAGGTGGGTGTTATAATACCCTGTGTTTTTATGTTGACTGGACATGTAGTTACTTGTAGTTAGTTCAAAATCCTTGACCCGAGACCAAAATATCGAAATTAAGGTTTGTTTTTAAAGGGATAGTTCACCCAAAAATGAAAATTCTGCTGTCATTATTACTCTCCCTCATGTCTTTCCAGGTCCGTAAGACTTTCCTTCATCTTCGAAACACAAATTAATATTTTGTATGAAATCTGAGAGATTCTGAACCTACGTGCTTCAATAAGTTCATAAAGAGATCGTAAAAATAATTCATATGAATTGAGCGGTTTAGTTCCAAATTTCAGAGACTCGATCGCTTTATATGATGAGCAGATTTAATTTAGGCTTTTATTCACATATAAACATTTATCAACTCACACATCATAAGTGGAAACCAGAAGCTCAAGCATGTTCACTTGACGTGCGAGAACCAATGAGGTTCATTCTCGTGTTACGCATCATGTTTGAGGTTCCGCAAGAGCCAATGAGGTTCATTCTCGTGTTACGCATCATGTTTGAGGTTCCGCAAGAGCCAATGAGGTTCATTCTCGTGCGTCAAGCAGGTTCGGTCGAGCTTCTGTTTATGTTTGCTGATAAATGTTTATGTGAATAAAAGCCTGAATTCAATCTGTTCATCATATAAAGAGATCGTGTCTCTTCAGAAATTTTGGACTAAACCGCTCAATGAACGCGGATCCACAACAGAACCGGAAGACAATACAATGCTGAATAAAGTCGTAGTTTTTGTTATTTTTGGAGCAAAATGTATTTTCGATGCTTCAAAACACTCTAACTAACCCACTGATGTCACATGGACTACTTTGATGATGTCTTTATTTCCTTTCTGGACAAGGACAGTATACCGTACACACATTTCCAATGGAGGGACAGAAAGCTCTCGGACTAAATCTAAAATATCTTAAACTGTGTCCCGAAGATGAACGGAGGTCTTACGGGCTTGGAGCGACATGAGGGAGAGTCATTAATGACATCATTTTCATTTTAGGGTGAACTATCCCTTTAATGGTAAGGAAAGACCCTTATACTGTGAGCGGCACATATGAGGTGTTTCTCCCTCATTTCTGCTAGTTCGAGGTCTTGATTGTGGCATTTCTTTGAGGTTTAGAATCCAGTTTTCCTGTAATTATTTTTTATTTTATGAATTTATTAAAGAACTGTCTCGTATTCTGTCCAAACACACCGCGCCTTCTAAGTCAGATGACTGTAAACGCGCAAAAACTGTTTTCATTGCAGTTTTGCGAAATATTCCTTTTTCGAATTGCCTGAAAAACCACCTCATGCGAGCGGAAAAACTTTTTTGCGATAAACGGGAGTTTTTGCGAAATTGACGTGTTTCCATTGAGCGCATTTTCAATTCGCAATTTCAATTTGCGCAATTTGAAGGGTAATGGAAACTCGGCTAGTGAACACATCAGAGCAACAAGCCAACTTACTCTTTTACCAAGCATTTTAGGCTGCTTTCAAACTCATTTGATCCTGATGAGACGAGCATGTTTTTGCATTCAAAAACAGCCAGGAATGAAACTGAATATGCGACTTCTCGAAGAGTGTTTTAATATGCTAAAAGTCTAATGTTGGCCATATGCTTCTTTTCAAAAACGACCTCAACAACATTACTGAATATATAACTCTGTGCGCTGGACAGCTGGTTTGGAGAAGAATGAACCACTTTGACCCGACCCGTGTTACAGGTCTCTTTTCTGCAGTACCAACAAACTATTAAAGTCCCCCAGTGGTGAGAATCAAGCTTTTAATGTTGTTTATATGTCTATGTGGTGTTTTTAATATGCTTTAAGCAAACCATGTGTAAAATTCATAAGTCGACAGCATTGCTGAGTATTTTCTCCTTAAAACTGCAGTGACCCAAAGACAGCCTCAAAAACACGGTTTGAAATCGCTGGTGTTTCTGACGTCACACACTACCTTGTAACCAATCAGATCAACGTGTGGGTGAGCTTTAGCATATCATTAACTATGATCGCTCTGAAGCAGGGGAGTCTCAAGAGAAGACAGCTTATCCCGGTATATTTTCCGGGTGATATTAAAAATGGGATAGATTTAGCAATATAGCGGGTGTATGATGAATATTATGATGTTATGATGGACTATAAGCCTTTCTCTACTGACTTTCAAAGTTGTTCAAAGCGTTTCTAAGGATGCTGATTGTTAGACGCCGGGCTGCCATAGACTTGACGAGCGGAAGAAGAACTGAGAATATAAATATATGCCAATTCAAAATATTAATAAGTAGGCCTACTATAATAGTGAATAAATAATACTAAAATACCATTGTTAAGGACCTAGGAGGAGAAAACTCGTTTTTTTACTCAGGCTTTTATTCAGTATGATTGAATTGGATCATCGAAAGTCAACGGCAAAGACATTGTCAATAAAGTGAGATTAAATACATAAAGAATATTTGTTTTTAACAAGTAGCAATGAGAAATACATTTCAAGGTCAAGGTCAAAGTTTATTTCTATAGCACCGTTTAAAAACACGAATGTTGACCAAAGTGCTTCACAGATACATCAAAAGTACACATACAGTTAAGTAGAGCATATAAAAACTTAAAACTAAAAACTAAATAAATAGAATCTTTATAATAAGTACAAATTTTAACCTAGCGACCTCACAAGAACTGCAACCCTGTAGTATTTCATAGATGCAAAAAGAATTTTTCAATTTAATAAGCTTGAGAAAAGGGCAGGTTTTAATTGATGCTTTAAAAACCTTTAAAGTAGGAGAAGCTCTGATCGATAAAGGTAGTGTATTCCAAAGTTTTGGAGCATAGACTGAAAAGGACCCATCACCTTTTTTTTTTTCAAACGTGATTTCGGGATATTTAATAATAGCAGAGATGACGATCTAAGTGATCTCTGAGGAGAATAAGAACTTAAAAGTTCTGATATATAAATAGGGGCCATTCCGTGAAGAGCTTTAAACACGTACGTTAAAACCTTGAAATCAACTCTTTGTTTCACAGGAAGCCAATGGAGAGAGGCCTGGATAGGTGAAATATGTTCCCTCTTTTTTGTCATTTGCAACTCTGCTTGCGAAATATCACAATACAAATCAACATTTTCAAAAGCAGTTAACCTCCTAAAATTAGTCTGTATTGCTTTCATACCTGTTGCGAATCCAGTCTCCAAACACCATTACACATTCTTCACACCAAGCAAGCAAACTCAGACATCAGACACGCTTAAATCACAAGTGACAAAACGACATGAGCAAGAAACTTGGGTTATTTAGGCCTTTGGGTTACTCCAAATTTTGGATAGCAAGTACCACCTGCTGATAACAACGGATTGTCATTTATGAACAAATAAAACCCAAATAAAACAATTGAAATCACTTTTCTTATCCGGTAGCCCTCAAGACCGGCGGCATTTCTTGAAGGACTTGTGAGCTTAGCACTATAATAAAGCTGTAGCAGTCGTCGTAAGACCACCTGTTAGCACCACATTATAACAGGCAGACGAGCCACTCTCACACACACGCGGAGGGGAATAGACAGTTTGTTATGTCTATTACAGACAGATGGAGACCCTTTCTCTTCTGCACGCTCTACACGTTTTCAGAGAAACCCCATCCATCTGTCTATCCTCCCATTCATCCATTTCTGTGCATCCTCGACCCTCGGCCTCCCCTGCTGTTCCTGTGTGCATTTCACTCTAATGCCTCAGCTCAACAAGAGCTTAGGTCCTGGCGACTTTGGAGGGGTGACTGGGCTTAACTGGGCTGAGATCAAATGCCTTTGGATTGAGAGGAGGAACAGCCAGCACAGGGACTTTCATCACCCGTCCGCCCTGATCCGTGTTTATGAGTTGCTTAAAAGCGAGCAATATTGCCAACACCAGTAGATTACGGTACAAGCACATTATACTCTTGTTATTGATTTGGCATCTAAGTGTGTTTTTGTTTCAGTGAGTGCTCATGCACTGTGTCTAACAAGAGTAGGGGTGTGCAATTGGTATATAAAGTCTATGATACTATCGTAATTCTTGTTTTAACGATGTGCAATTCGCCTTTGGCTAAGCCCCGCCCCCCTTAGTTACTGTTGCTGCGTCCGATAAACAAACTTCATCTGGGCTCTGGTATCAACATGGCTTATGCTGTGACAGCTCTTCCTGCTGAAATTTTATCAAACTTATAAAGCAGCAAATAAAGTGTCCGATAGAAGTAGGCAAAGGGGCTGCAATACGTTCGAAGGCATACGTTCACGACATACAGGTGAAACGCAAGGAACAACAAGGCATCCAAATAGAGGCAAAAGCATACCGGTCACAGTCAAAAAATGAACCACCGCATATCCTACTAATCGAGACGGAGGCTGGGACAAACAATATCAAGGAGCAACACTGTTCATGCAAAGCTGGGTAGTTCTCTATTCACTTCTATAATCGTTATTACGAAGCAAACGGACTACGCGAGTATAACGGTGTATTTATTAGCAGCGTGTGCAAGACGACACTTGTCAGGATTTGACTTCGGTTTTGGGAAGGGAAAAAAACGGACACCCCCCTCCAACCTCTCTGGGAAACGCGTATCTGTGTTATAAATGCCCCAGGCACAACGTCGGTTTAACCATATTTTTGATAAAACTACGATGGTAATAGCCTGCCAAGACCAACATATGAGACGCCTGTGTTAAAGCCAATGGAGCGCTGTGAAAAAGTGTCGGACCTCTGTGGGAGCTCGTTCTTGGCTGCGCTGTGATTGGTCAATCTACATTCTAGGGTGTGGCTTAGCCAAAGGCGAATTGGACATTATCAAGTATGACCCTCACTTTGTAAACACCAAACGAAAACACCCAAGACTGCGTGATGTAGCCTTTTACTCTATAAAACTGCAGGAAAAATGCCCCTGTATTGAGTAGTCTTTTAGGCTATATTTATATCATATGATATGGTGAAGCAATCACACAGAGAGCCGTCCCCCCAAATACTGTGCCTGCAGACTGCAAAAAGAAAAAGAAAAAAAAGTTTAATAAACAAGAAGTTAATATTAAGTGACATTTTTAGACACAATATTGCCTGTTTTGCTTAATTTCACGACAAAAAATAGTTCCAAACAAAGACATGGCAGAACTGTTTTTTTGTTACTGAATAAATCATTCCATTTGAACAAATCAGTTGAGTGAATGTTTAATGAATCGATTGACCTACTTTAACTACAACCAAATGAGAGTTTACTTTACACAACTCTACAGAACGTCTCGGTTACGAGTAGGGAACGGAGACGTTACGTCGAATGACTACGAAAGGGAACATAGTACATACTACATACTTTATTTCATATGCTTTTTTATATCACATATAAACTTAAAGTCCCTCTGTGGTGGAAATCAAGCTTTTAATGTTGTTTTCATGTCTATATGGTGTTTTTAATATGATTTAAGACAAATCATGTGTAAATTCATAAGTCGACAGCATTGCTGAGTATTTTCTCCTTAAAACTGCAGTGGACCAAAGACAGTCTCAAAAATACGGTTTGAAATCGCTGGTGTTTCTGACGTCACACACTACCTTGTAACCAATCAGATCCACGTGTGATCGTCAACGAGTGGATCTCTGAGCTGAGTGAGTGAGTGGAGGCGGGGCTCATTTGCATATTCATAGAACCGTGTATACTAAATGAGGCAAGGGTGTCGAGTTACATTCAAGCTATTTTAAGGCATGAATCATCTTTTTTCAAGGAGAAAACATTTAAATATGAGTTTTAAGAGATGAAATTATTGACTACTTTAAAAATGTTAGAGGACACACAAATTGTTACATACAGAAGCAGCTTATTTTGGTGTCTGAAATACCTTCCTCTCCACGGCATTACCAGCTCTGGGTTGATCTTTCGGACGAAATATTCACCTCCAGGTCTGAGGCCTTGGTCCAAACAACCCAGTGGGACGTTTTCTTTTGTCTCGTCCTCCACTGGCTCCTCAGTTTGGGGCCTGAGCACACCCAAGTAACGAGGCAGCAAGTTGATGAACACCTGCAGAATGTTAGATGACAGGATATGCTTTCAGTTTTAAGTAATTGTATGGAATAATGTAAAGAAGCTGCTCTTTAAATCAAGATGCGTCACCTTTCGCACCCACACGGGCATGTGGTGTGTGCTGGGAGTCCTGTGGTGGAGGTTCAGGACCACCACGCTTAGGATGACAGAGAACGTCACCAGGATCATGGTGAACATCACGTATTTAACGATGATAGGAATGCCAAGCGATGTTTCTGGGACTTTGTCAGCCAACAACAGCATGAAAACAGTGAGAGCAATGAGGACGGAGATGGATAGAGTCATCTTCTCACCTGAGGGAGAGGTCAGAAATCACGTCTTATATAATCAATATATACGGACATATTTTAGGCCATTAACCTTCTGTATAGGTAAACGTACTAACTATTATTTAATGCATGGAGGCAAGTTTAAAAATGAGGCAGACAAAAGACAAAAAGGTTTTTTTCTGTTTACTAAAATTATTAAAAAAACATTTCTGTTAATTGAAATAAAGGTGAAATAAAATAAATATTAGATGAAAAACGAAACAAAAATGAGAAATGTTGCCTTGGCAATGATCAACTGGAAATAAATAAAAGCTCAAAATAAATCTAAAACTGAAATAAAAATAAAAATAAATGAAATTACTAAAAAATTAAACCAAAATCAACGTGGGAACTAAAAATATAAAAATAAAAGTTAATTCAAAATATTAATACAATTATAATAAAACTAAAATAACACTGCAAAAAATATATTTTTTTGTCATCCACATTTTGTATACACCTTAAATACTTTTTGAGTCTTGTAAAAAACTACCATTCAAAGGCTTGGGGTAAGTACGTTTTTTTTTTAAAGACATCAATACTTTTATAATTAGTAAAGACGTTTATAATGCTCCAAAATAATTATACTTCAAAATCAAATAACTGCAACTAATTTGAACTTTCTTTTAATCAAAGAATCCTTAAAAAAAACAGTTTTCAGAAAAATATGAAGCAGCACAACTATTTTTAACATTGATAATAATAATGAGAAACTCTTCTTGAGCATCAAATCATCAAATTAAGAATGATTTCTGAAGGATCATGTGACACTGAAGACTGGAGTAATGATGCTGAAAATTCATCTTTAATCACAGGAATAAATTACATTTTAAGATCTATTACAATAGAAAAACAGCTATTTCGAATTGCTAAATTTTTAAGTATTTTAAGTATTTTTGATGAAATAAATGCAGCTTTGCTGAGCATAAGAGAAAACATTAAATAAAACGTTCCAACTTTTGAATGGTAGTGCTTTTTAAATAGTCAGGGTGTTTTATAAAACAGCAAAGCTGAACATAGGACAGTCATCGAATTGATTTGCTAATTAAAGATGGGCACCTGCACCAGGCGGCAGGTAGAAGACGAATATGGCCAGCACACTGGTGAGGATGCAGGGCACGATGATGTTGATGATGTAGAACAGAGGCTTCCTCTCGATGATCAGGTAGAAGGTGATGTCCTCATACAGGTCCTCCTGGACGATCTTCCTGCTGGGCTTGTGACAAATCTGCCACTCGCCGTTCTCTTAGGGAAGAGAGAGGACTAGTGAGAGAAAAAGAGATAGAAGCAAGGAGAGAGTGTGCCAAGTTGCTACATTGCTTGGCAACCGTAAACTATGATTATAAATGTACATAATGAACATTCTTGCATCCTTTATGATGCTGGACAGGAAGTTGTCATGTTTAAGAGGAAGTACACTAACCAGTGAAGGCATTCTCATCAATAACTATCTCATGGAGCTCGTTGCCATCTTCATCTAGACCGTACTGAAGGTCCACTTCTGAGGAATCATACGTGTAGGAACGAAACACCATTGTGCAGTTCTGCCAGTCGAATGGAAAGTATGCAACCTATAGGGCCGGAGAGCACAACTTTAAACAGTAATAATAACAGTTAAAGCTACAGTAGGCAATGTTTTGTTATACTGGTTGAAACTCTTTTCACATCCTGAAAGCATTCAATAGTAGAAGTGGTCTAAATGTTAAAAACTGTACATATCTCTTCTGTGGAAGTCTCATGTCCAAAAAATGTTCGTCCAATCATTGCATTCGGTCCAAATGCAATGTTCATGTTCTACCCGGAGACTTCCTAGCCGGATTTATACCTTTCGATGGCAACACTATCAACGCCGAAATGAATCTGTAGCAGTCAGGCGTTACAACTAGAGCTCTGTAAGTTGTTTACGTTCAATATTATAGTAATGTTTTGAGACATGAGGTAATTTAAGCGTCAAACACGTATATCCGGTTTCCAGAGGCCGACAGGTTCTGCCACAATTCAGACTTTTTTTCAGAATTCAGAATTGCGAGTTATAAAGCCAGAATTGCGAGATATAAAGTCAGAATTGTGAGATATAAAGTCAGAATTGCGTGATATAAAGTCGCAATGGCATATTATAAAGCCAGAATTGCGAGATATAAAGTCAGAATTGCTTGATATAAAGTCGCAATGGCATGTTATAAAGCCAGAATTGCGAGATATAAAGTCAGAATTGCGTGATATAAAGTCGCAATGGCATGTTATAAAGCCAGAATTGCGAGATATAAAGTCAGAATTGCGAGATATAAAGTCAGAATTGCGTGATATAGTCAGAATTGCGTGATATAGTCAGAATTGCGTGTTATAGTCAGAATTGCGAGTTATAAAGTCAGAATTGCGTGTTATAAAGCCAGAATTGCGAGATATAGCCTAAAGTCAGAATTGCGTGATATAGTCGCAATAGCATGTTATAAAGTCAGAATTGCGTGATATAAACTCAGAATTGCGTGATATAAAGTCAGAATTGCGTGATATAAAGTCAGAATTGCATAATATAAAGTCAGAATTGCGAGATATAAAGTCAGAATTGCGAGTTATAAAGTCAGAATTGCGAGTTATAAAGCCAGAATTGTGAGATATAGGGCCCTATCTTGCACTCGGCGCAAATGACTTTGTACACTGACGCATGTATCATTCCTATTTTGCACCCGCGCAAAGCGGACTTTTCCCTCCACAGACGCACGTCGGTTAACTAAGAAATACACTTGCGCTCCCCGGGGCGGTTCAGCGCAAAGAGGAGGCGTGTTCCGGCGCAAACTTTCCCTCATGCTATTTTGCTGTTCTATAAAACAATTGCGCCACTGACCAGAAAAAACCTAGTCTAAAGTCAGTGGCGCGTTGCGCGTTGTTCATTATGCTATTTTAAGGGCGCATGCTTGGCCATAATCAATGTAGCGTGTGCACAACGCGCATACACTTTGATTCTCTCATCTAAGCAGCAGTTTTCATTTTTGCAAATCATACATTATTACGATAGATAGATAGATAGATAGATAGATAGATAGATAGATAGATAGATAGATAGACAATTTATTATAAAAGCATACATGTAGCTTACACATTTACCCAAATTATCATACGCCTGTTTAACAGAAGTTAATTTGGGTGGGTTTCTCAAACTTTCTCCATCCCCAATGTCACTTCTCTGTGTTTTACGGCCCTGACGAGAACGTCGCTCTCCTCGGCTGTGAACGCTCCTGGCGCGCGCCTGGCAAATCCGCCGTTATAATAGGGATCTGCTTTAGAACAAGCGCGCCTGCTCTTAAAGGGAATGTGAGATGACGCTCTGATTGGTTTATTTCACGTTACGCCCAAACCACACCTATGAATAATGAAGCTACTTCAGACCAACCCCTTTTAGATTTGCGCCAGGCGCAAGAGGCATTTATCCCGCCGGGAAAATAGCAACAGCGCCGGGATCCGCCCACAAAGTTACTTGCGCTTTGCGCTTTGACACTTGCGTTTCAGATCGTTAAAATAGGGCCCATGGTCAGAATTGCGTGATATAAAGTCAAAATTGCGTGATATAAAGTCGCAATGGCATGTTATAAAGTCAGAATTGTGAGATTTAAACTCGCAAATGGGCATTTAAAGAGTCTGCGGCATCTCTCTCTACTTTGTCCACAGTATTTTTTGGCTTAAGCCAGTCGTTAAACACATTGGCAGCCCAAGCTGTTGTTTTTTTGGTGTTTTCATGTTTTTCGCCCTCGAGTCTGTCTAGCTGTTGGATTTGTCGCTGTCACTTCTTGTTATGAATTGTATCCTATTTTCCGTTATGACAGTTGACTACGCGAAGTGATATGGAACTGTAATGCGGTCAAGACCTGCCTGGAACTACTTTAGCCGTGCGTTTCCCTGAAAATAATTGCACACCTTAGAACGTTCGTCGACCAATCAGATTCAAGCATTCAACGGCCCTGTAGTATAAGCTTCACTATTACATACAGACGCATGCAGGTAATTCACACTTACAATCTCTCTCTCGTGATCATCAAATGAACATTTTCTGCGGTGTAAAAAGACTCGCGGTGTAAACGCAGCCTTAATGTCGTGCCGCTTTGCAGACTCTGCTCTGGCCGTGATAGCGGATACCAGTCGTGTCGAAAGCAAATTAAACAGGCGTTCATGTGTTTTGAAGGAGCCGTGGCTTTTTGAGACGCTCTGAAGAGAGGCTGGGATCTTCTATAATTCCACGTTAGGCTGCATAGATTAAGTCAGCCGGAACCTGGAACACTTCCCACAAATCCTGATGTACCCGTTACATCATAAGAAGGATGGAGGGCTCTATGGTACCTGATGTAAGATGAGTGATCAGCACGAACACAAATACTCTTATCTCGTCGAAATCTTGACGGATTTACAAACGGTTTGGTTTCTTACAAACGTAATTAAACTTCTGGATGATTATTTATTGATACACTTATTATTCATAAGTGTGCAGTGTCATAACTACATCTCTGACGTTTATAACAAACCAAACCGTTTGATAATCGGTAGAAAATTGAGCAAGTTATGGTTATTTAAAAAGTACATGCACCGTTAAAACACAATGTTACGAGTGAGCGAGCTGCCTGTGACAAGATGGCCGCCAGGTGCGCAGGGCCGGTTCTAGACATTTGGAGGCCCTAGGCAATATTCATGTTGGAGGCCCCCCACCCCCAATAAAAAACTCTTGAAACAAATATGATTCCTAACCTTTTAATTTATACAACATTTAATTTTAAATGTTTTTACTTACACAGTAAATAAGTTTGGACACATTAATATTTTTTATGTTTTTGAAAGAAGTCTCTTATGCTAATCAAGCCTGGATTTATTTGATCAAAAATACAGATAAATAATAGTGAAATATTATTAAAATTAAAAATAATAGTTTTCCTATTTTACTACTTTAAAATATATTTATGTGATGCAAAGCTGAATTTAGTGTCATGTGATCCTTCAGAAAACGTTATAATATTCTGATTTATTATCAAATGTTAGAAATGGTGCTTAATATTTATTTTGTAACCTGTGATACTTTTTTTCAGGATTTTTTTATTTATTATTATTAAAAAGTTGTTTAAAAAAGTCTTCACTATCCCTTTTTATATATTTAACACATCCTTGCTGAATATTCCTGTTTTTCTTTTTCTTTTTTGTATTTTTGATCAAATAAATGCAGGCTTGTAGAGCATAATAAAAAAACATTAAAAATAGTAATTGGTCCAGACTTTTTACCAGTAGGCTACATATTAATCAAACTTCATCTAAGGTAATCTCTTTTTTGTTTAATGAAGATGTTATTGTTATTGTTATTTTGCTGTTTTATTCAATTTATTCACAGTTCCAGAATACCACTTCAGTGATATATGCTTTTATCATTTTTTTCATAGCTGGTATGGGCAGGATTTTCCCCTCCCATTTAATAAATATTCGACTGCAGAATGCAGATATTGTCATATTATTAATATAAGTAGGCCTAATATGATATTATGCATTGCATTGCTAGCTTAAATATGCTATACACAAATGAAGTGGAAGAGAAAGACACGATCGCTACTGATTTAGAAAAAAAATTCTAAACTGATATTATTGGCGTAAGTAGGCTGATGTCAGACAGGGTATAATCATCAGCAGAATTTAGAAGATAGACCCGAGATCCTTTATTTGAAACATTTAAAAATGTTGTAGTGTGTTGGCTTTTTAACTTTGAATTCAAACGTCTTGTCTTTTACTTTTGTAGCGTTTTTAGTCAGCTCCCGACGCGATGTTATTCATTGTACGCGCAAATTCAAAGCGTCGCGTCTGGGCACGTTAATGACGCTCGCGCTCTTTTAAACTCGTAATAAAGCGGTGAATGTTTTTTCCAGAAATGACGCTGATCTACAGTACAAGTTTATATTTAGAATACATTGCAATCACTCCAAAATAGATGACGACAACGCACACACCTGCATTAGAGCTGTGCTTCTTTGCGTGCCTATTTAGGCTTTTGCTTCGCAGCACCTGATGGGCTGGCGTTAATGTGACGTAATGTAACAGTCTATGGTTAAGATAAACATCGTCACTATTTTTAGTTAATTAATAAATATTGAAATAAATTGTAGATAGGACATTTGTAAAAAAAAAAAAAAAAAAAAAAATGTATCCCTCTGTCTGGGCCCCATCCAGCCAGTCGGGCCCTAGGCACGTGCCTAGTTTGCCTTTGCGTTAATCCGGCTCTGCAGGTGCGGACGTCGACCTCCATTGGCCAGCAGCGCGGACGAGACATCTAGCCTTTATTATGGATATCTATGGTGAAACAGGGGTGCTCTGAAAACACCCCCATTAGCAATTAGTGCTTTCCACCTGATGAAATTAACACGGCAAGAAATCGACTAAACGTATCGACCAGTAAATCGACTAGTCGACTGGGAGATTACAACCCTAGTGTACATGTACCTCTATGGAGCAGGAGCTGCGGTAGATGGCAGGCGGATACCAGGAGACGGTCCCATCACTCCTCACCAGCACGTTCACATACAGAGCCACGTCAAACTGGCCATCATTACTGTTACACACAGGGAGAACATTGCATAGTCCATGTGCCCGGAGCAGTTTAGATGCTTTAGTGTCATTTACATTGACTTTGGCTTCTTAAGATTTAGCACAATTATTAGATTGCACTGCAAAAATGTATTCTTGTCGAGTATAAATATCTAAACAGTGTCTCTTGAATATGGATGTGTTTTGTTGGTAGATTTGTTTTCCGTTCATATTAACAAAGAAAGAAATTGTGGCAGGTGTCCTGTTATAAATCATGCTTTTTAAAAGAAACAAAAAAAAATCTTTTGTCAGTAGGGCTGGGTAAAAAAATATCGATTTCTCCATATTAAGCGATTGTCATTTTTACGAACCGATATCGATTCTTTATTCTCACGAGTCGATTAGTCATCCTGTTTTCATTTGATGAATGAATGGAACATTGTAGCGCGCATCCCATCCAATAAATCGCTTTGTTACTATTATTATGAAAAAAAGTCTCAAATTTCAAATTATGTCCATTTTCTTACGAAATTCAAAAACATAAATAGCGTTTTGTCGCTGTGGCTCAGATCAAGAGAAGCAGCAGCACATGATCTCCTCTTCCGCCTTAATAATACCGGTTACAGCGCCAAATAAACATGAATGAGCATCTGAAAGTGTGTTAAAAGATAGAGTAGGCCTACAACTTATCGAAATCCGTATCATGTAACATGGAATCACTCAATCAGTGTTTCAACCGTGGAAATACGTCAGTTAAACAGCTTGTAAACAATGTAACGTCACATTTACCTCAGAAAAACCATAAGTGACCATAAATATAAACAAGAATTTTGCTAAATATATGCACCATATTACATATTCATTATAATATTTAATGCATGTTTGAATAAATCTGGCAAGTTTTTATGACAGCCACCTTAATGTTTATATTCCATATAACTTTCTTATTATAAAAATAAATAAAAGTGTAATTTAAGTGTTTGTAAAGCTACAAATCAGTTAATTTTTACCTTCAATATTATAGTAGGCTAATGAAGCCTAGTAGGCTACAACTGACTCCCATAGTTTACAGCATTAGTTAAGAGATTTGTTTTCCCTGAAAAAATTTGCCATGTATTGTACGTGATATCCAAAATAATCAATATTGAATCGAATCGAATCGTAATCGAATTGTGTCAATACCCAGCCCTATTTGTCAGAGTGGCATTATATGTGGATGCTCTCACTTGTTGATTAGGTAGATGTCTGGACGCCACACTTTTATGGGAGGAATTCGCACAACGTCAATACTGTCATAGTCCTCAGGATTCCAGGATAACCTGTAGTCGATCCATTCCTGGAAAAGAGAGAGAGATACATGCATGCAAACTGCGTATATATGCACACTACCATTCAAAAGTCTCTTGTTCTCATTAAGGCTGCATTTATTTGACCAAAAAAACATGAAAAACAGTAATAATGTGAAATATTATTACAATTTAAAATGGTTGTTTTTCTGTGAGATAATATATAATAAAATGTAATTTATTCCTGTGATCAAAGCTGCATTTTCAGCATCATTACTCCAGTCTTCAGTGTCACATGATCCTTCATAAATCAGTCTAATATGATGATTTGCTGCTCGAGAAACATTTATGATTATTATCAATGTTGAAAACTGTGGTTGTGAAAACCGTGATACAACTTAAACACTGAAAGCATTTTTTATATATATTTTAAAACAATGCAAAAGTTACTGTAACTTTTGACTTAATGCATCCTTGCTGAATATTAATTTTGTTTCGTTTTTCTCAAATCTCACAGACTCCAAACTTTTGAACGGTAGTGTATATTAAGTTTAATGAGGATATCTCATTTATATAGGAGGATATTCTCTTGTCCCTTCAATTTTGACAGATCATTTGCGAACAAATTTGTCCTCAAACCTTATCCTCTTAGCTAAGTAAACATTCTCTCTCTCTCTCTCACACACACACACGCACACACACACTTATTTGCGCCACATCAGAAGAAAGCACATGAGACAGTTTTAAAAAAAGAAAAGAAAATCCAGAAATGACTTGCAGATATAAAAAGCGTAGATGTAAAATAAGGGATGAGAGAAACGCTCTGCCTCTCACCATATTCATGAACACGTTTGTTGTCATCTCTTCATTCTTCTCGTTCTGCGAGAGAGGAGAGATAGTGACATTAGTGTGTGTCGAGTGTGTCATGCTGTCAGTCCTCCTAATGTTTCTCTAATGTCAGGGAAATGTTTCTGAACCAGTGGGTCAGACGGGCCGCCGGTCTCCAAAATCACCCAACACAAACTGTGTGAGCGATGACATAGAGAGAGAAATGGGGAAAAAAGAATGAATAAAGAGAGGATGTGTGTGTGTGTGTGTGTGTGTATCATACCAAGCTGATAAGCTGTACTAAAGTCATTCCCACTCGGACCATCACTCGCTCATTCCAGGTCCGTGCCGGTCGCACCTTCAGGTTGTAATCCTGAAACAAATCCTCCAGTAGCCTCCGTTCAGCCTCGGACGCCCCTGGACACACACACACACGCTTGTTTTATTTTAGCATGTAATTAACTCCTTTCCTCTCAGTGTTTCTTAATCAAAATAACCCGAGCACTGAACTCTCTTCAGTCATAAACAGGGTTTTCTAAGAGTGGGCCGACCCACTTCAACATGCAGAGCGCCGCTGCTTCTTTGTCTTCTTATTACAAGGTCACATGTGCTGTAGCTGTTACAGTTCATTACAGCACATAACCGAGACACTATGGTGACACACACACCTGTTACTATCCTCAATGGCGTCTATTCAGATAAACTAGACCACCTACTGCAATGCAAAAATAATTGATCTCTTTTTTTATATTTAATAATACATTTTAATATAAATAAATATATATATATATATATATATATATATATATATATATATATATATATATATATATATATATACATGAATGAGAAAGAAAACACACGTGTAACAGTATAATGGATGTGTGCGTCAGGTCTTAAAGTGACAGCAGCCTAATATAACGGCTGCAAAATTACGAGATCCTTATTAATAATATTAAATCAATCAATCGATCTATCGTTAACAAATATAACAACAACAAATATATTAAAAAAATTCAGTTGTACACACATGTAGTGAATATACAAATTAATATTAAGAGGAATACACACTGTTAGACACACACACACACACTGTAATTTTATACTATGTTTAAAAAGTCAGTAAATGTTTTTGAAAGGAATTTATTCAGCAAGAATGTGTTCAATTGATCAAAAGAGAAAGCAAATACTTTCACATTTCTATTTCAAATAAAGGCTGTTCTTTGACCTTTTTATCCATCAAAGAATCCTAATTTTTTTTTATCAACATTGATAATAATCCTAAATGTTTCTCGAGCAGCAAATCATCATATTAGAGTGATTTCTGAAGGATCATGTGACACTGAACACTGGAGTGATGATGCTGAAAATACAGCTTTGATCACTGGAATAAATTACATTTTAAAATATTTTAAAATAGAAAACAGTTATTTTAAGTTGTAATAATATTTCAAAATATTACTGTTTTTACTGTATTTAATAAATGCAGTCTTGGTGAGGAAAAGAGACTCCTTTCAAAAAACCTTTACAAAAAAAAACCTTTAAAGGTATAGTGTAATTCAACACAAATGCTCTTTTCCCATAACAAAGGGAGACACACCTCCGCGATGTGTATTACCTGTGAGAGTTAGAAGCCAGCAGCTCCACAGGACCCAGAGCAGAGTCTTCATTTTAGGCACAAGCTGTATCTCCAGAGTTTGGTCCCGTCACCAACGTACAGACACACCTCAACAAACTCGCTCAAACTCACATATCCCGCTCCACAGTCTCTGTACTCTCACTAACCGGCAGTCCGATGGGATTCTGTTCATTTCCATACCGGTTGCAGGGCCGAACCTCTCCAACAAACCCCTGACACGGTCACCTGATCATTTTTCTCCTCCCTGCAACCTGACTTGTGAAATGCAGTGTCCGTGATTGGTTGGGAGGCCAAAGAATTATGGGAGGGAGAGAAGAATGTGTTTGGAATCTGTGGCACCTGTTGATGTGTGTGTGTGTGTGTGTGTGTGTGTGTGTGTGTGTGTGTGTGTGGCAGAGGGGATATTTTTGTGGGAGAACAAAGGGAAGAGGTGGGCACGACTGTTCCTTTTCCGGAGGGTGAGATAGGACATCATTTAACATACTCTCATACACACACACATGTACTGTACACTGCTCGCATACTTTTTAGGGGACTTCCCTTTCACACTTGCTCTTAATATAGCTCAATATGTAATAATACACTTATACACTAACTCTAATACAGTAAGCAGTCGTTCCAGAAAAACACAGAGTTTTTTTGTGATTGTTGCGGGCAAAAATCCTTGATTACGCGGCCCGTTTTCTTAAAAAATGCGATGGAATATGCAGGATATTTATGCAATTTTACGCGATGAAATTGCGGGAACTTGCAAAAACTGCGGTTTGATGAAAATGAGAAGAAAAAAAGTGATTCCCCCAACACCCTGTTCTCACTAGGCTACTACCTTAATATAAAGAGTCATTTCTTATTTCTTCCTATGATAAGCAAGCATATACATCACAGAAAGTGCTGGGAATATTTAAGTTCTCATCTTTTATTTCAGACCTTAATAAACACATCAAACTTACAAAACGTTGATGAGTCAAACAAGTTCTGTAGCTTTACAAAAGGAATCTGCAACAACTTCTGTAAAAATGAATAAATAAAATATAAAAAAATAAAGTGTGCTCCTGTTTTACAGCTTTTCGCTGATGTTCACGTCGCGTAATTACGTCACTTCATAACGTTCCCATGGCAACAGGGGGAAATGGCGGCTCTTGTGTGAAGCAAACGCAACATTCTGCAACTTTCTGCTAAGATATATGTCACTTTTTTGCAACGAAAATGCGAGGATTATGAAATCATGCAAGCCCCGCATATTTTGCACGGAAATCGGCAATTTATGCGGCGTATTTGAAAAAATGCGGCCCCCGCATAAATATGCGGACTTTGGCTGATTATGCACTGAGACTGAGTAAGTACCTTTTGGCATTTTTACAAGTTAATTAAAGTTTACAAGATGCCATTTTATGCCCTTTTACAAAGTCTTGATTTCGTTTTTGGGCTCTAATAGAAGAGGTTTTCATGCTGAAATGTTTAAAGACACATTATTTTTCACATATTCTCCATTGTTGCAGCTCCTCTCTCTTCCCAGTCTGTCAGTAACGCTCTGTTTAGTTCCCGTTAGTGATGCGCGGGTCGGCTTTTTTCTAACCCGCGGGTCCCGCTTTTATGAAATTATTTGGCCCGCCCCAGCCCGCACCGCACCACTGTATCTATTTTTACAACCCGCCCCGCACCCGCGACCGTTACTACTAGGCATTGTAATGTAAATGAAAACAGCCTTTATTTCAGCCTGAAAGTGCTTGGAAACATCGCCCTGTAAACTGGCAACAAGAGACGATTATGAATATGAATCATAAATCAGGTCATATGATACTAATAAACATTTTCAACATTTACAAAGCAGCGTTTGTATTCATCTAATAGGCTAAACCATTTTTTTATTTCTTAGACCCCCACAAATATGTCTTGACATGCTGGAAGTGCCCGTTTTGTGGCGCTACTGTTTGTATATTTTTCACACGAGTTGCACTTCAGGTAGCCGATCTAGCTACTGTTGTCTCCTGCTGCAACTATTTGAGAACAGCTCCCAAACATTAGATGTAGCAGCCTAACCTTATTTTTCTTTTCAATTTAATCAGGTAAATTCCCGACCTCAATTTCTCCCGCACCTCGTCTTCCATCTTCACTTTTATTTCTCCGTTGTTGTTGTTGTCGTGGCTGGCGGCGGGAGCTGCGGAGCTGCTTGGCGCGCTGCTTTCGTGACGTGGACCTCACGCAAGTTAAGTTGCTATGGCATTCGTATTGTAACCTTATCAAATAACCTAATAAAATACGAAAATAGATATTCCCAAATATTTAATATAGGCTGGAAATTGCAAGCAACATACAAGGATTAAAAAACCCAATAATAACCCAGCAAACACAGAACGTTCCCCTAACGTTCCCGTATGGTTCCCATTTGGTTATTTTTTGGGAACCAAACGAGAACGTTCCCGGAACGTTCCCTGTAGGTTTTTTTAGGTTTCATTTTCCGAATAGGTTCCCGGAACGTTCCCCTAACCTTAAGGGGACGTTCTATTTACGTTAAGAAAACTTTCCTGGAGAACCAATAGGGAACATTCTGGGAACGTTCCCAGAACGTTCTGGGAACCAAAAACTAACGTTCCCAGAACGTTCCCAGAACATAAAATTGTTAGCTGGGAATGACCCGCCCCGCAAATAAAGTGACAATTTCTTTACCCGCCCCAACCGGGGTCTGCGGGTTACGAGTCGGCCCGCGCATCACTGGTTCCCGTCTCTATGAAGCCCCTCCTTCTGAAAAGCGCAGTGTGCTCTGATTGGTCGGCTGGACCAGTGGGTTGTGATTGGTCAAGCGATTCGAGTGTGTTTGGGAAATGCCACGCCCCTTACCATATCCACCAGTTTCAACACACTCCTAACTAAACGCTGATTTCGCACGGCACTAATATTATCACAGGACCTCTGTGTTCGGCGAAATATGGCAGGTCATTTGAGGGGGAAATTTTACTTTACAAATTACAGACATTGCCGATTCACGTGGACTTATCCCGTGCGAATAGGGCTTAACTCAACCAGGCCTCGTCCCTTTATTCTGCGTATGCCTTGGGCAGGAATTATTTAAATGAGGAATATTGTGACGTGTTCCTGGAAGAAAACTCAAGACTACAATGGAGGCGTTTCAGGGAGTTCAGAAACACTGACACTGATATAGAGAAGACCTGCCTTTGCTTCGTAACTTTGCAGGCCTTTTTCATTCTCAAACAGCAACATTACACACTAAAGAAAGTTGAAGATGTAAGAAAGTATAACCCTTTTTCCTTTTGATAATTTTATCATGACCATCTTGGAAGGTAATTAGAGTGTGTTACCTACCCTGGATGCCAGCCGGACTTAGCCCCGCCCACAACATTTGAGGATGGGAAGTTGATCCGTTGTGAAGCAAGTATGCCGAACCAAAGCTGTTCGGACCAATCAAATTGTCGGGGCGGGCTTTATACGATGATGGACAGATGATCAACCGTCACGTAATCATCCACATCACCAAAGAGCGCTTGGGTTGAATTCGTTTACAACAAAGATGGCTGCTGCTGGAGAACTGAGATGTAGATTCAGCCATCGCGTCTGTTATAGAAGATGTAGACAGCGCATTCATTTTAGAAGAGGAACAGAGAACCGCGATCAAGGCATTTGTCGATCCAATTGAGTGCAGAGGCATTTTCTTTCCTGGTTCGGTTGAAACGCCCCATAATCACAGCCCAACGGAGGCGTATCAGACTCGCATGCTGACTAGAGTTTAAGTATGACGACGTCGGGCTACGAAAAACGTGCATTGTGAACACAAATCGCTCCGGCATCAAAAAAACTGGGTTACACAAACATTTTATAAGCCTTTTTTAAGATGAAAATAGTAAATATTTCATCAAATTGAATTGATTAATCCTTACATATTATTCATATTTTGAATAAAAAATTGTAAACGAGTAAAAAAAAAAAAACGAACTTCATAAAAAATGTTGTATAAATCTTAATGGAAGAAGGGAATGGACCATTTAGTTCGTGATTCATATTCATACATTTTAAAAAAAGAAAGTTATTTTTTTTTTAAAGATTTATATAAATGTTTTATTAAGTTCCATTCTTAATTCATAATTTGAATAATATTTAAGGATTATTCAGTTCAATTTGATGGAATTTTACTATTAATTGAAATGCGCAAATATGCGTACAAAATGCAGTAACGCACTTACAATGGAAGTGAATGGGGTTCAATTTTCGAGGGCAGACACACACACACACACACACACACACACACACACACACACACACACACACACACACACACACACACACACACACACAAAATATCACTCTCAGCATCTCACATTCTAGCTCAGAAATGAGCACAATGACAACTGCTTAAAAAAGTCCTCAATAGCATGCAAAGGCTCTTGTCAGAAGTAACCGCACTGAGCCGTGTCATTTTAGTAATAACAATCATTGCAGCGACGGCTGTTTATTGATTTACAACGCAGTCGACATGCTTTAGACAACTGTTAGCCGAGATGCTGACAGAACACACGGACAGGCTGTCAATCACACTCAGACAAGTGCAACACAAACAATCTCCTCTGAGAATATTTCAAAACACCCTTAAACACAAAGATGTGTGGGCAGTGAAACATGAGTTTATTCAGCTCGTTCACGGTGTAATTTATACATAATAAGACTTAACGTGGGTCGAGGAACTTTTCGTAAATCTTTTCAGCCTTATACAAGTAATTCTGAATCTCTTCTGAGATCTCTTTTGTTTAAGCAGGGTGTCTACAGACATAAGTTAAAGTTATATAAGACTTTTTAATGCCACGTTGAATGAAATTTAAGACCTAACTTGTGATGGAAATTACAAACGTATATGTAATATTTAATGTTTAACCTAAGTAATTGAAGTAATTTAATATTAACTACTTGTTTATTGAACAAAAATCAATGTTGCATTTGCAATCGTGAGAATATTCAGCAAAATAGCTCCCGTCATGTTATGTAACTTAACTATATCATATGTTATAAATAATTTTTTTACCTCAGTATGTTTCTTCTGTGAGTTTATTTGTGCTGTTATGCTCGTTTGTTTTGATTTCTCACTATAAAATCTCTCACAGACACAGGCGAGTCTCAACAGCGCCACCAGAAACACATTATCATTATCAATCGCTGTCTATGTAATAAAATCATTATCATTCTCGCGATCCAACGCTTCACTGGTTATTTGATGGACATTGGGTCCGTCAGACTGGAGAAAGTTTAGCGGTAATGTGACCAGAAATATATAAGACCCATCGAATCTGAATTTAAGACATTTTTAAGGCCTTTTATTAGGAAAACTTTAAGACTTACTTTTTAAGACACAGTTCACATCTGTTTCATGCCTGTCTGAGTGCAGAATGAGGTAAGACCACATTTTCTGACCAATTTATGAAAAAACCCAAACATGTTGTCCCTGCATCTCCTCCAGGGGTGTCACTAGGCTCATTTTAGGAGGCCTTTAGCGCCCCTAAATTTCCACCCAGCCCTCCTAAAATTTCGATGAACTATACATGTACACATTGCCTCAGTCCCCTTTAAAAGTCATAAACCGGCGGCAGGCTTCGGCTCGTCTGCGTTATTCAGTGTGTTCTTCAATCCAGTGCCAGCGTCAAAAGCAGAGAACAGCGTGTCTGCATATATTGATAGATTGTTATGATATCTGTATCTGTGTAGTTCATTGTCATAAATGTAGTTTACATAATGTGATGTGGGAGCAATTCAAGTTTTTACTGTTTCAAATCCACTGTAAATCTGGGCTTATATATTTAGGCTATTCATTTATTTTATGAAATTCCTCTCATCCTAATGAAATGAGACTTTGTGACTTGTCCTACTCTTGCTATACTTCAAACTTCAGTGCAATAAAATTTCTTATAATATTCATTTTATAATAAATCCAAAAGCAACACACGCGAAAAGAGCTATGAAAGGGAGTGGGAATGGCAAATGAGTGGTCCTCTGCTGCCATCTACTGGTTATAGTGGCAATTTCATGTCATTTTCATGTTAAACGTGTTTGTTTTCCACCGGGCGACAGAAAACATTTCCCATGTTATCTCCATGAATGAAATTGAGAAATGTAGATCTTCTTTAAAGTTAATTGTATCGCACAAATGCAGAAAAAAAAACTAAAAAAAAAATACATTTGTAAAAAAAAAAAAAAGAAAAGAATTTACCAACATATTGCTAATCTAGACAAGCACAGTAATAAATAGTTTGTCTATATTCTTAATGAATATAAGCTGGTTATTTAAAATGATAGAAATTAATTCAATATTCAGGGGTTGACTTGATTGGTAGTGTATAACCTACTGTATTGTTCATGCCTACCCTAGTATTCAAACAATATATATTTATAAAAAATAAAATACATTTTTTATCATACCCTCATTGGGGGCTGAGCCGCCCATATATTGAAATCCTAAATCAGCCCTGATCTCTTCTCTCTGTAGGGTCTATATACTGTAGGTATGAGGCCAGTAGCATCCAGTGAAGTTATCTGATATAATGGTCTCTCAACTGTGATCCCTCTATGTATTTGATTTACTCCGCCTCTCTGACTCTCATTCAAAAACATGTTATTGATATATTATTTGCAATCAAAATGTTGAGATAGATATTAGTGAGGACATTGCATAGACTTCAATTGATTTTATATCAGGGAAATTATATACAGTATATAAGTACAGCCCAACTTTCCTAAACTATGGAAAGTTTTATGGGGACTTTCCATAGACAATGATTTTTTAACTTTACAAACTGTATATTCTATCCTCTTACACTAACCATAACCATTAGAAATAAACTTTTTTTTTACATTTATAAAAACTGTTATATATTAAAGTGATTTATAAGCGGTTTTCTTCATGGGGACCAAAAAATGTCCCCACAGGACAAGGATTTCAGATATTACCATCTTTGTGGAGACATTTTGTCTCCATAACGTAGGGTTTACCTGAGCCACACACACACACACACACACACACACACACACACACACACACACAGACATGAATGAGAAAGAAAACGCACATGTAACAGTATAATGGATGTGTGCGTCAGGTCTTAAAGTGACAGCAGCCTAATATAACGGCTGCAAAATTACGAGATCATTATTAATAACATTAAATCAATCAATCAATCGATCTATGGTTAAAAAATATAACAACAACAAACATATTAAATAAATAAATAAAATCAGTTGTACACACATGTAGTGAATATACAAAATGTATTATCATACATATTTTTTAATAACACACACACACACACACACACGGTGCAAGAAACAGTTTTTGTATTCTTAAAAAAAAGAAAAAAAAGAAAGAAAAAAAAGCAGATTTCCTGAACACCTTTGCTCTTTATTCATCACATAAAAACTTTCTTTAAAAACATCATGACTAGAACAGCCTTCACACACTTAAGAGCACATAACACACTGGGTATTAAAACATTTCTTGAACACCAGGCATAAATGCATGTAGATTACATTCTCAGAAAAAAAGGTCCAAAAGCCGTCACTGGGGCGGCACACTTTCTAAAGGCAACCCTTTGTACCAGATTTACCTCTAAAGGGTGCATATTATTGTCTTAAACATACAGAATAGTTCCTATAAAGTATACATATTAGTATCTAAATTGTGCATATTAGTACCATTTGATAGGGTGCCGCCGCAGTGACCGCTTTTTTCCTGTAAACAGTATTTATTTGATCAAAAATACAGTAAAGTTTGAGAAACTGTAATATTGAGAAATATTATCACACTTAATGTTTTCTATTTGAATATATTTAAAAATATAATTTATTCCTGTGATCAAAGAATACATTTTCAGCATCATTACTCCAGTCTTCAGAGTCACATGATCCTTCAGAAATCACTCTAATATGATGATTTGCTGCTCAAGAAACATTTCTGATTATCATCAGTCGTGCTGCTTCATATTTGTGGAAACCCGAGATCGTTTTTATCAGGATTCTTTGATGAATAGAAAGTTCAAAATAGCATTTATTTGACAGAAATCCTTTGTAACATTATAATGTCTTTACGGTCACGTTTGATTAATTTTAAGCATCCCTGCATTTCTTTAAAATAATTATTTCCAGTAATCTATAGATTATTTTATTCTATTCACAGACCTAACTGTATAAAATCCTACTGAACTCGGCAATAATAAAGCAGTTTTGATGCATCCATCCATTGTCTTAATGGAAATATGATGTAGCAAAAATTCAGGAAACTCCAAGGCACTCTCTTTAGAAAGATTAAAAAGCCTTTATAAAGAGAGAGTACTTTGGAGTTTCCTGAATTTTTGCTAAATATGATTATCCCATCGCAAACATTATGAGTCCTGGAAGCGCTCCTCCATACAGACATTTGGAAATATAATGTGAATGAATCACTGTGCTCTTTTTGTAACAGTAAAAGACCATAAATATGCACTGAACAGTGTCTAACACATCACATGCCAATGTTTCTGAGCTGTCAGATTTAGGGGAAGGGGTCGGTGGGAGTGGCATTGAAGCTGGCATAAGTGAAGATGCCCAGCGTCCCAACAGTGGTAAAAACCACAAAGATCCAGAGAAAGAGTCGATCAACCACCATGGCAACATACTGCCAGTCCTCCTTTAACTGAGAGACAGACAGAACGAGGACAAGAAGAGAGAAGGGGAGACAAATGAGATGGAAAACAGTGAGAAGGAAGGGAACGTAAAGATTTCGAGAAGCAGGAAGAGTAACCTGGTTATCAGGCTTGTGCACAATTCAGAATTGAATTGAGAATGACTCCTGAATTTCAATTGATGTCAAAAACAGGATCTAGAATAGAGAGCCTAAGCCCCTCCCCTTCCGGTCGACCACCATGGGACCTTATTTCGGAAAAATATTGTATGGTAGTCAATGGCGAGAGACAACAAATATTTTGATCTCGTTTGAATTGTGCCCTGAATTACACATTATTGTCAATTTAAAAGATACATTTTAAAGTCAAGAAAGTCGCAGTTTGATGTGAAACTGTTGAGGTATAAGACTGCGAAAATACGAAATTACAAAGACTACAAACCCAAAAGGCGCACATTTTCTCTCAATGAATGAAGCTAACTTTACTGACGCTAACTTTACTGAAGCTAACTTTACTGACGCTAACTTTACTGACGCTAACTTTACTGACGCTAACTTTACTGAAGCTAACTTTACTGACGCTAACTTTACTGACGCTAACTTTACTGACGCTAACTTTACTGACGCTAACTTTACTGACGCTAACTTTACTGAAGCTAACTTTACTGACGCTAACTTTACTGAAGCTAACTTTACTGACGCTAACTTTACTGACGCTAACTTTACTGAGGCTAACTTTACTGACGCTAACTTTACTGACGCTAACTTTACTGACGCTAACTTTACTGACGCTAACTTTACTGACGCTAACTTTACTGGAGCTAACTTTACTGAAGCTAACTTTACTGAAGCTAACGTCTGTCATTGTTTCTATAGTCTTACGTTATAATCGTAATGTTTCGCCGTCATGCCTGAGTGTTTTGTAACAGACTGCACACACACGAGTAGCGGATCTTGCTTGTTGTTTCGCTTCCCGGGAGATGTAGTTCATCGAGCGATTTTCACATAAAACTAAATGTTATTCTTCTGTTTCATGACAAACTGCGACTTTCTTGACTTTCATAATTATCTTTTAAATTGACAAACATCATATGTTTAATTCAGGGCACAGTTCAGACGGAATAAAAAGATAAGTTGTCTCTCGCCATTGACTACCATACATATTTTTTCCAAAATGAATAAGGTCCCATGAGCCGGAAGCGGAGGGGAGGGACTTAGGCTCTCTATTACAATACGAATTTGAATTAAAAGGAAGCAGAATTGCAATTCAATAAAATTTTAAAGAAATTCTTATACTGTAAAGCTTCATTGTTAAACATTTCACTTAAAATATGCATGTCAGATATTGCATTACATATTCTATAAATGATATTAGTTTGAACTACTTGTACAGATTTACATTAACAGGAAATGGTTTCCCCCAGCAATGAATGTTAAAAGCTCTAGTCACAGAACAAATAATTAAGTTTGATTTATTGTAATTGATATTTTGTGGAACATAATAGAACATGACTCTATTTCCCAGAATTATTTTAGTAAATCTAAGGGGAAAAAAACTATTTGAGGTGGACATTTGTTTATATATATATATATATATATATATATATTAGAACAAATGTATGCAGGGTTGAGGAGGAGTGAGGAGTGACTAGTTGTAACTAACGTGTAATGAAATAATGTTATTAATTTACAAAATGAATGTAATTTTATTTAGTTGTATTACTGAGGTAAAATGTGTAATTCAAAGTTACTAATCAAATTAAAAGGAAATTGCTTTACATTGATAAAGTAATCCAAACCACATTTATAATGGGTAACTTATAACAGTAAGCAATTACATTTCCAAAGTAACCTTTCTAACACTGAACATATTCGAGATTCAACACATTCTTTCTGTTGTGTGACTGTGTGGAATTTCTTTGAATTGCCATTAATTTAATTCCACTTCCTGTCATTCCAATTCCAATTCAACTTCCTGTGGGGCGGAGTCAATTCAATTCAAATTCCAATTCATGAATTGAATGGAGGCCAATTCTGAATTTCGCACGAGCCTGCTGGTTATGATTGTAAATGACTTACAGCCTCGTAGTCTTTCTCGGCCTGCAGTTGCTCCGCGATGTAAGTGATGGCGTCAACGGCCGCCTTGAGCTCTGGAGGAAGACTGAGGAAATGACTCGGGCCGTCGATGAACTTCCTCAGGTCAGTGCATTGACCATCGGGCTGGAACCTGCAACACAGGAGCAATATCACTGTACACTGCAACCAGTGCTAGGGATTAGCATCACAAGCAACACAAGTTTCCTAAAAGATTACTTTTTCTCAAGGAACTAGTAAAGCTAGCTGTCTCACGTCACCAAGGTCAGATAAACCCCATCACATAGAGCCTCTTTCACCTAGATATCATCATATAGAGACTGTGTCTGTTCCCCAAATTAGGAAATACAAAAAACTTCCAAACCCATTTAATGTTCAACAAATAAAAAACAGATTTAATACAAATGAACAAATGATAAAGCTTTGGTTGCTGAATATTCGATCCATTACTTCAAAAGCACTTATTGTTAATGTTATGATTACAGACTATAACCTAGATGCTGTGTATGATAGAAACCTGGCTAAAACCAAATGATCACATTACTTTAAATGAGTCCACCACACAAGATTACTGTTATAAACATGAACCTCGTCTGAAAGGCAAAGGGGGAGGTGTTGCTGTAATTTATAGTAATATTTTCAAAACTACTAAGAAGTCTAGTTTCAAATATAATTCTTTTGAAGTGTTGGTGCTTAATGTAACAATATATAGTATAAATGATAAAACACGTTTGAGATTTGTGCTGGCTACTGTATACGGGGCACCATACAGACTTTATCAAAGAATTTGCTGACTTTCTATCAGAGTTAGTATTGGCTGCTAGCCTGGCTAATGTCAGACCACGTCTCATTGACATTGAGACGTGGTCTGGGAACCACATGTTCATTTTCTCGTATTTGAGGCGTGGTTTATTGAGCCGTTTATTGGGTGCTACGAATGTCTATCAAATGCGCCTGTACGTAGCTCATAGCCAATCGTTTCAATTATACCAGATGACGTAGCCAATGTAGAGCGACAGAAATTAGCAGCTTCAGTATTCCTTAAAATGTATAAAAACAGTGAAATGCAAACTCAGATTACACTAACATCCAATAATTAAATGTTAAATAAAACAAATGCACTTTGTGCATTTAATCTCACTTTATTAACCAATGTCTTTGCTGCTGACCTTCGATGATCCAATTCAGCCATACTAATAAGCTAAAATAGCTAAACATGCAATGTGTGTTTATTTATTTCACTGCTGAAGTGAGTGTTGTAGTGAAGGGTCTTTCATGAACGTCTGTCACGTGACAAATAAACGAAAGACTCGGATGGTTAAGTAATTATTTATGTTCCCTGTAAATTATTTTTGACTGCATAATAATGATTTCTTAATTCAGAATATGATAAATATTGCGTAGGTGGATGTGTTCGGGGAATTTGGCTGTTAAATGTATAACATTTAAGCCACTTAATGAACGAAACGACTCGAAAAAGGATTCGAACAAGAGAGTCAGTAAAATGATCCGAACATTAGGATGTGAATTTACTAATTTATTCACTTTTGCTGTGAAAAGGCCAAAAATATAACTTTTTGTGTTATTACAAAACAATCAAGAAACTATTGCAACACAACACTTTCCATAAAAAGTAACTAAGTAATGTAATTAGTTATTTTTTAGGGAGTGACACAATATTGTAACATTACTTTTAAAAGTAACTTTCCACAACACTGATTTATTCAGGTCAGGGCAGGCTTGGCATTATTTTATGTGTGAACTGCCTAGAAACATGCTCTATATAAACACACACACACACACACACACTGATGAGAATGCTGAACCAATACATTGCAAGCACAAGGTCCCGTTGAACATACTCACAGTAAATCTATACTTCTACTTCGGGGTAGTGATAGTTACCTTCAAACGTTTGTACAAACATACCAGAAATGTTCTGTTACATATGAACCATATTCTTATGCCACTAGTAACTCCAAGGTCATGGGTTTCAGTCCCAGTAAATGCATGAACTGTTAAAATATATACTTTGAATGCAATGCAAGTAGCTTTTGGATAAAGGCATCTGCCAAATGCATGTTATATAAAAATATAACGTTATTGTTTGTGGTAAAACATGCTTAAACTTAAAGGGATAGCCCAATAGACTCTTTTGTTATCCATATAATAGAAGTCAGTGGCAACTGAAACGGTTTGCTTACTAACATTTAAGTAACACAGGTTTGGAATGACATAAGGGTGAGCAAATTGATTTTTTTTTATATACTATTCGTATACTATACCTTTAAATATCTTTTTCTGAAGTTGAAGAGTTGACCTTAGTAAATTTCTCAGATTGTATGAGGAAGTTATGAACACACAGTGAAACCTCAGGCAGCGAGTCTAAATCCATGCTGGATCAGATTACTTTGTCCTTGAGAAAAGGGTGTAAGCATTTAAAGCCTTAGAATGCATTGGGCTGTGCACCGTTCCTGCTGTGTGTGTGTGTGTGTGTGTGTGTGTGTCCACATAATCCCACAGCAGAAAAAGAGGCAGTTTCTCAAAACCCCCGTGTCAAGGTGACCCGTTCCAATGAGGACTGACTAACATATAAAAACTTCATATAAAGTGATCGTGTCTCTTCAGAAAAAAAATTTGGACTAAACCGCTCAATTCATATGGATTCGTTTTACGATCTCTTTAGGAACTTATTGAAGCATCAAAGTTTGCGTAGCTGTCAATGGAGGGACAGAAAGCTCTCAGATTTCATCAAAAAGATCTTCATTTGTGCTCCGAAGATGAACGAAATTCTTACGGGTTTGGAACGACAAGTAATTAAATGAAAGAATTTTCTTTTTTTTTTGGTGAACTATCCCTTTAACTCATTCATTTAATCACTCATTCACTTACTGTCATACTTACTCTTTCATTTAAAACACTCACTCAATCATTCAGTTAGTCACTCAGAGTCATAATCTTTCTTTCCCCCCCCCCCCCCGAATCTGTTTTATGCTGATGGTGTAACCACCCACCCATGAAATCCTCCCAATGTGCTGATGAAATGCTTATCACCGCTGATGTGTTGCATTCCTCTTTTGAGAATCTGTTCACGAACATCTGTTTCATTATGAATCCCCTTCTCTTTCTTTCTCTCCCACTGCTCCTCATCAGTTTCCCAGATACTACACCTCCCCATCCCACCACGAGGGGTCAGTGTGACTCTTCACTCCTCACATGCTCTCATCTGTGTTTGTGCATTCAGGTGCTGGGACAGACAGGAGCTCATTGCAGGTAGTCTGTGGTTCCCCAGTGAGCTTCAGTGACCCGAGAGGAACCCCATTAGACTGAGACATACGTCAATGCCGGGCGGGATCGGGAGAAGAGAGCAGAGGAAAGCTTGAACATCTAGCATTCATTTAGAGCCTGGAACAGCATTAACATGATCACGCTTTTATCCACAGCGACTTACAAGGTACACATTTTTTACATTCTTATCAGTTCTTGCTTTCCCTTAGCCTGGATGCCAGCCCGAACCCTGCCTACAACATTTTTTGGTCGGGAAGTTCGGTCTTGACTCGATCCATTGAGGAGTAATTATGATCGGTTCAGAATTAGTCGGGCCAATCAAATTGCCAGGGCGGGCTTTATACGATGATGGACAGATGATCTGCAGGGACGTAATCATCACGTTCTCCTTCTCACTTTTAAATCTCTGCACGGCTTGGCTCCCCCCTATCTCTGTAATCTGCTTCACCCCTACACCCCGACCCGCTCTCTACGATCCTCCGACTCTAGCCTTCTCGTCGTCCCTCGGCATCGCCTTGTTTCGATGGGGGGGAGATCATTCAGTGTTGTAGCGCCCAAAATGTGGAACTCTCTCCCCCGATCACTCTGTTCTGTTAACACTATTTCTGAATTCAAATCCATGCTCAAAACTCGCTTATTTTCTGAATGTCATAACTCCTAAGTTGTACTTTTTTATTTTTTTTCTGTACCACTGTCATCCACCTACCCTGTTGTTTTGTCTGCTGTCTTTGTCCACTGACTTTACTGTTGCTTGTCTATTGTAAAGCGTCCTTGAGCTCTGGAAAGGCGCTATATAAATAAAACATATTATTATTATTATCATCAAAGAGCGCTTGGGTTGAACTGGTTTCCCTCAGAGATGACTGCCGCGGGAGAACTGAGATGTAGAGATTCCGCTATCGCGTCTGTTGTAAAAGAAATCGACAGGGCATTCATTTTAAAAGACAAACTGAGAAATGCAATCAAGGCATTCGTCGATCGGAAAGATGTGTTTGCCGTCCTTCTTACGGGATTCGGCAAAAGTTTAATTTATCAGCTGGCTCCGATGGTAACTAAGAAGATGAGACGCAATGAAAACCCTGTGGTCGTTGTGGTTTCTCCTTTGGTCGCACTCATGGAGGACCAAGTAAACGAAGCAACACTCGTTATTTTACTTCTTCCAGCGTGCGTGCAGTTGAGTTCTGTTGACAACTATGCGTAGCTCAATATACGTCACTACTGTGTTGCTCTGATTGGTTGTAGGTCTATCCAATTGAGTGCAGAGTTTTTTTTTTTCATGGTTCGGTTAAGACACGCCTCATAATCAAAGCCCTATGGAGCAGTATCAGACTCACATTCTGACTAGAATACGAGTATGACGAAGTCAGGCTTGCTTTCTCTGGGAATCGAACCCATGACCTTGGCGTTGCAAGTGCCAACGCTCTACTGTTTGAGCTACAGGAAAGCTTTCCTGTAAAAATTCTCTAAATCAAAAGCATTAGCTACAATCAGATGCATATCCAGAATGGCAAGCCTCAATCTGATTTACTGGCGTTATGCACAACTTTCTGGAGTCAGTGAGCACAATACTTCATCCGTTATTCAGGGAAGAAGAGCATCACCAAAACGCTGAAATGAGCAAGGATAAACTAAATCACTGGAGTTTTCAAAGTTTGCAAGGGTCATGGCACTGAATCTTTCAGTGAAATAATTAGTATATTTCATTTAGGGGAAAAAAAACCCAGAAAGTCTAAAATTTATTTTCCACAAATGTCTTTGATGTCAGTCTAATATTGTTGAATGATTGAGTTCAGATTTACACTACCATTTAAAAGTTTGGGGTCAGTACGATGTTATTTTTTTAAAGAAATTACATCTTTTAGATCTTTAAGGATGCATTCAATTGATCAAAAGTGACAGTAAAGATAATATGTCAAAGATTTCCATTTCAATAAAATTCTGTTCTATTAAATATTAAAGCAGCACAACGGTTTTCAACATTCATAATGATAAGAAATGTTTTTTGAGCAGCAAATCATCATATTAGAGTGATTTCTGAAGGGTCATGTGACTCTGAAGACTGGAGTAATGATGCTGAAAATACAGCTTTGATCACAGGAATAAATTACAGTGTAAAATATATTCAAATAGAAAACAGTTATTTTAAGTTGTAATAATATTTAACAATGATATTTTTATCAAATAAATTCAGCCTTGGTGAGCAAAAAACATAAAAAAGTCATACAGACCATCTCACGTTAAAAAGCAAACTGTGGTCCCGTGATGTCAGCATACGTCTTACATATCTTGACCCGATTAATTTGGATGGCAATAATCAAAGTCTGGCTAGTGGCTGTATTAAAGACTAGCAGCAGTGTATTAAATGAATGAAAGAAAAGGTCAAAGGCATCCTCTGCCAGTCTTTGTTCTTCTTTCATCCTCCCTCCTCATCGACAGACACAGATGACTAATCAGGAAAGACTAATTTGACTAAACCATGGTGGCAATGGTGCCAAAACACGCTATAAACCCAATTAAAAAGCAAGATACCACTGCCTCATCGAATTTCTCTTCCTCATCTTCCTTCTCTCTCTCGCACACTCTGTCCTGTCTCGATTTCCCCTCCCTCCTCTCGTGAGCCTAATGCAGGCCAGGTCTAATGTGTCAGAGCACATTTGTGCTGATCGGTATTATTTTAGTGATGATTTCTTCCCTTTTTTCACACCCCCCACATACACATATACCCCAGATACACACAGAGCAATTCCCTGGTTGAGATGATTTAAAGTGTGTGAGAGAGAGTAAAGGATTAATCAAACCCTAAGGCGTTCAGCCATGCTCTCTCTCTCTCTCTCTCTCTCTCTCTCACACACACACACACACACACACACGAAAATGCCTCTATTTAGGATTTTTATAATTAAACAGGCTACATTTTTTGCATGAACTCCAAGGAAACAAGAACATCTGACCGTCTGTATAAAAGAGTCACATGATCAATGTTACAAATTTGGTTATGTGATTCCCCAGCTAACATAGATATGCTCTAAGAATGTTTTGTTCACATTAGGATGTGAAAATAATGTTTTTATGTGAAAAACTTAAAGTACTGTAACAAGTATAACATTTAAAAACAAAAAAAGTCAGAAGAACATTCAACTAAAGGAAAAAAAAATTCCATGAGCGACGCATAAATAATGTTTTTGTGCGAATGTTTTAAGAACATGATTAAAAACCAGATAACTTTCATTTAAAGTTCTATTAAAGTTACTAGATTTAGATTTTTGAGTCCCAGATTTTCAATGTGTCTTGGGTCTTTAACCGCTTAAGTGTCACCCCCCCACCCCCCAACCTTTTTGAATAAACATGAAAATGCACAATCCGAACATAAATGGTTGTAATTCAAGAATGCTTTGGGATATAAATGTGATTGGTCTTGTTTTTAAAGAAGAAATTTGGCAGATTTTTGTAGAAGTTAAATAAATTAAGAAAGTGAAACAGAAAAAAAAAGTTATGGAAGTTTGAGTTTATGAAAATGTAAAATGTAAAAATGTAATTATTCATATTTTAAATAAAATATATATTTTTTAAACCTGGTGGACTCTAACACTGCAAGAAAATCAAAGCCAAAACTCTGAAAAAGTTGTGTTTCAAATTTTAGGTTGATATTTCAAAAAATGAGCTTTCAGTGACAACCAGACTCCATTACTGCCCATATCAGGGCGCCTCCATTTCCATATGTGTTTTGAGTGATCTGAACCATTATTTCCACAATTTTCATACAATTTATGAAGTAGGCATCCTATTCAGAAGAAGTAAGGGAAGTTTGGCATATTCTGATATGAATTCAACCACATAAAAAGAGCACACATGTGCGTTATAGCTCGCTGCCACATCACAAATGGTGAATCTATAATTTCTTTCTTTAGATTTAAAACATTTTCAGAACTTTTTTTCTAAAAAAAAAAAAAAATGTATGTTATCTTTTGAACTATTGGCATGAAGGTTTCTACCCTTCTTTCATGATTTTCATGTTCATTACTATTTCAAAATAAAGGTCTTAACACGCCTTAGGAGTATGAAAATATTCTAGTTGCAAATTCATAGTTAATTGATAGCAAATTGACATTATTTTGAAAATCAATCACCAAATACGGTGACACTTAAGGGGTTAAAGGTGCCTCCAAAATAATCACAATGAATCCTTATATAGGTTCATTACTGCATACATAATATATTCTCCACCAGTGCTCAAGTGGTGACACTTATCTCAAGAAAGCAGCCTATTCATTCCCCCCTAAAACCTGCTCTCTTCTCCCTTCCATTCTCACTGACCCGTTTGACCCCTGACCCTGATGATCTAAGCCCAGAGCCTCACCTGTGGGGTTTGGGGAAGAGGAAGTTGGTGTTATTGGGCTTGCGGATGAAGTACTCATCTGCCACTCTGCTGATGGCTTGGATGTTCTCCTTTTTGGAAGGTTTCTCGAGAAACAGAGGGGTTTCCACTTTAGGTCGCAGCATTCCCAGGTATGGAGGCAACATGTGGATGAAGATCTAGAAGAAATGCACAGTTAGACTCTTATAAGACACACAGCTGCAGTAAAAACATGCCCATAATAACACATCAAGTTCTTCTAATTCGGAAATATAAAGACTTTCAAAAATAGCAGAAACACATTTACTGTACCCCTTCTTTTAATGTACACATAACATACAGAAAAATAGGAGAAAATAGGGACTGAAGAGATGTGGGGGGAGGGTTATCTTATATTATCTTATTATAGTATCTTATTTTTGGAGAGTGCTGGCAATGGTAATAGCTTGTTTTCATATGACGTCACGCCACTGCGTTGCCATGGCGCGAAATGCAAATGGAGGGCAGGAAGTGATATGCTGTATTTAGAAAGCACTATAACAAACTCAAAATGCCTATGTTTTGCGTCGTTTATGGTTACTTAAATCGATCAAACCACGAGGAGTTTTTTTCGTGTACCAAAAGTTGTTGTTCATAAGGGGGGAAATGCAAGAAATTGACCGAAAAACTCCGGAAAAACGGCTTGCAAACCTACGTCTGCGGTCGGGAGGAGCCGAATGGGAAAATGCCCGTGTGTGCCGTGATCACTTCGTCAAAGGTGAGTTAATACTACTTAAGTGGCTATGTTTGTGTAACGTGTAAGTTAACGTGTAACGTTTACGAACTTTGTAAAGTCAAAGTATGTCTGTAAGACGAGGTAGTTGCTGATATCTACCGCCTCGATGGCTGGAAAATCTTTAAATTCAGTTGAAAATCGCTCCTCTTCATAACGTAAGGATCACGTCCAACATGTTTGATTTTTTGTTTATATCTTTCTCTTGTAATAGTGTGTAAAGTAGTACAGTACGGACTTTCCTCCATCTCGTCCATTGGCTCTTCACTCCCTGCCCTCCATCTGAATTTCGCGCGTCATCATAATCACGTGACTGAAACCCAGACCTATGGCTAAGCCACGCCTCCAAACACGATGAGCCAATCACAGTGCGCATAGCTAACCCAATACACTCTGACATTCTCTGCTTTCACGTCCATTGAAATGCATTGCAGTTAGTCAGTTTTCATTCGTTTTTATATGTTTTTTCTTGTCATTTTAAGTTTAAAATGGTCAAACGGTGTGCATGGGGTACATGCAACTCCGACACTAGGTATCCCGAGAGGTAGGGCGACGGTGTGTATTTTTTACCCTTTCCCAAGCCACATCTCAACCGACATAAGTGTCTGCTCTGGATTAAGTTATGCGGTAGACCACAACACCAACTAAACGTGGATAAATTAAACAAGGAAGTCTACATCTGTTCTAAGTTAAGTCAACAACGTATTTGAACGTTATCTTTAACATCTCTAACGTAGGCTAACGTTAGCCTAACATTACAAAACGTTGACGTTAGCTTCTAGCTGCGTTGCACATCATGTCACTTAGCTTCGTTAACGTATCTTTAAATAACCGAGATAACAAATTCATGTAAATACTGCAGTGCATGAACAATGCTGATCCTCCATCTTGTTGTCTGAGATGGTGATGGCAACGAGATGCGGTTTATCACGTTTACACTGTGACCTGTACATTTTTGCCTGGAGCTGAAGCTTTTCATCGACCTTCTCAACAATAAAATTATTAATATAACCCTCCAATGAATAGTTAAGGCCCTTTTGGTGACTTCGAGATGATATATAATCTTTCTGTCTCCAAAAATCATCAATTGCCTCCTGTGAAATGTCTCCTACTGTGACCGAGCCTGTTCCCGAATGTTGACTGTTTGTCCGAGTGAGTGGAGGGGGCGTGGCTTAGCCATAGGTCAATTGTTACATAGGAGGAAAGATGTAAATAAGAATAAAAATAAAAATTGACTAATACAATGTTGGCAGTATGATGGTAGTGAGGAGCGGTGGTGGTGATGGTAATGATGATGGTAATAAATAATAAATGGTTACTTTGCTTATGCATACATACACGCACATACACCCACCCACACACACCTATTTACACACTTTTATTTCACTTCTGGAATTATGGAATTACTAGATTGTTCGTTACTGCACTATTTTGGTCTGTATGTCTGTTTGTTAAATAAATAAATAAAATGAAATAAAATAAAAAAGAAACACATTTTCGTGTTGTGAAGAAAATGTGAGTGGAGGGAGATTGCTAATGCAAACTTAAAGTCCACTGGATTTTTATTATATATAATAAAAAATATATATTTATTATACATGTCAGGCAGCAATGAAAACTTAGGGTTTTGAACATTAAAGTCTGCAAGAAATGGAAGTGGAAAAGACTTGGCGTACAGCCGTCTGCCGGAAGCTAGTTATTTTAGTCGATAAAGTCGATAAAGTTTTAAATATGGATTTTTTTCTCACACGAACGCATCGCTTCACTTCAGAAGGCCTTTATTAACCCCCGGAGCCGTTTCGAGCACTTTTATCACGGATTGATGCGCTTTGATGGACTTCCAAAAGATATATACCCATTGACACCCATTATAACGCTTGGAAGAGCCAGGACATTTTTTAATATAACTCCCGATCGTATGCGTCTGAAAGAAGAATGTCATATACACCTAAGATGGCTTCAGGGTGAGTAAATCATGGCTAATTTTCATTTTTGGGTGAACTATCCCTTTAATTAAAAGCGCTACAGTGCTTCTTTAAACTGAGTGTTGAGTTGTGTGGACATGGCTGAGTCCTCGCTTCCTCTGCATGACTTCACAAAGGATCTGAAAGAAAGAGACAGATTGCACTCGCCCAGCACATCATCTTTCAGCCTTGCATCCCACGTCTGTTTTCACATGGCCTTGCTGTTACGAGTGAATGTCCTGCAAAACTGAACTGAATCTGAATAAAGAACTGCTGCAATATATAATCTTTAGAAATAAATGTAGGGTTGTGCTTGAAACGGGTGTAAAAGGGTCGCTGTGGTGTGATGGAGAAGCTGCGACTCTAATCAGTTTAAATAATGTCGAGCTTACAGCCGTCAATAAAGGTTAATAGTCTAACATAACAGGCTGCTTTTTGAAAAGATGCTGCACAGTCTGTTTGCTAAACTGAATTATCTATTTTTGTCGATTTAACATTTTTATCCTTTTTTCACAAGTTTGTAATTGGCAGACAGGGTTGTTTTGGAGTGTCCGGGAATAAAAGAAAATGGTAAATGGAAATATTTTCTGCATCTGTCGTGTTAACAATGTAGCCTTCAATTTGTTGAAAGCAGCTGACTCCACAAAAGTTTCACAAAAGGATGTGCATCTCATTACAAACTCAGGCGGATTTTGTGGTTTGCTAATGGTTACTTATTCCCAACCAAAAAAATAAAAAGCATTTCTAGTCCAAGAAAGACTTTAAAGATACACAATGGAACTTTTTCTTTGTTCAAAATGAACAAAATGTAAATAATGAGTCATCAATCCTTCTCCCAAAAAGTGTTTTTGTCTTACAATGGTAAGCCTATTATAAGTGTTTATATTTTAGATTATTTATTTAAATATTTATTTGATATTTTATTCTGTCTGGGTGGTTTTTGCGGGAAATTGCGTACATGCGTCACTCGCGCCTGTGTGTCTCGTCACATCAGTAAATATAGAGGAGTTTCTCCGGCTACTTTGACGCGTGTCTGTGTGAGAGTGGCAGAGGTCAGTTTTACGAGTGAGAAAGGCTGACATTGAGCAGTTAAATCTCAAACCTCCGGAGAATCACCCGTTTAAACAAACGCCGAACAGAGGAGAGTGCTGGAGAAAAGAGGACGAGACAGAGCTCGTCATAAAACAAGAATCAACATTGACTTTGCAGAGATGGCGAGAACTGAAGGATTTGAAATGTTGTAAAAGCGACGCAGAGATGATGGTGTTTTTATCACTCATCAGGCGAGTAAAGTATTTTATTAGACCGATAAATTGCCATTTATATATATATATATATATATATATGTAGATATATGTAAAGCATTATCTATTGTGAAGGCTCATTTCATTATGGTTGTTGTATCACTGTGCTGGAATTGATTTTCAAGGAAGTAGCGTGTGTATTAATGGGTAAAGATACAGTAACGTCTTCAGCTAGTTAGCTTGAGATCCTTTCCATCTAAACTGGTTATATCTCTTAAACCTATATTGAATGTATTTATGAGCAGTTTAATCATATTCATCCGCACACTCACACAGAGACGAAGCACAACCTAAACATTGTTCTTCCGCAAAATACATGCAGTTTTGTTTTTTAACCGCTATAGGGACAAACGTTGCATGGTGTATCTTTAACTATAACATCATTGATCAAAATTCTAGTTTGTCGAAAGCGGAGTTCAAACACCTTTTCAGATATTTTGATCTAAAGGACAAAATAAGCTTGTGTAATTTACATATGAACACATCCAGAGACGAGGGAAACACACAGAGAGCATCAGCTTTAGTTTCTGCTCTGACAGCCGCAAGATCAGCCGAACGCTGTGAGTGTGTGTTAGAAATCAGGAATGGTGAGAGAACATTGAGTTTGGTACGTTTTTCATTTTCAAACCAAACTTGGGTCTCCAGTCGACAGAGTTTAAATCCGTCTGTCTTGCCGCTTCCCATAATGTTACGCATTAGTTACACATTCGCCCACATGAGTGTTTACTAGTGCTGCCAAACGATAAAAATATTTAATCGCGATTAATCGCATTAATGTCATAGTTAACTCGCGATTAATCGCACATTTTTATCTATTCTAAATGTCTCTTGATTTCTTTTTGTCCCATAATTTTTTCTCCATTATCCATTATTTGAAAAGTGGATCAGCTTGCTTTGTGCAAATGTTTTTTTATTGAAAACAACATTGGCATATACTGTGTTCAATTTCACACTAAAACACTTGGAACACTTTTCACCTGGAGCAAATAATCTCTCACACAATGTAACACTGTCCATCAATAAAAGGGTGAAAGAAATACTGACGAGGTCCTGATATTGACGAGGGGGCGGAGAATTCGCATCAGCTGTGTGTGTGTGTGTGTGTGTGTGTGTGTGCTTGGCCATCATCAAGTGGTATTTCAGACTGGACGTGCTGACGATGATGATAGCTCAGTTCACAACGACAAAACACACAGATCACTTTGGTCTTGTCAATGGAACCATTTGGCAACTTTTTAAAAGTAAACTTTCCATTCAGAATCTTATTGGCATCCATTTCGGCGTCTCGCGCTCATCATCCACTCAAAACGTAACGTTAACCAACTAGTTGGCCGGCTCGCAGTCGCAAGCCCAAACAAGTGTGTGCGGCGTGCCTGTTGTTTTGTTTCCGGTCTAGCTAGATCCGCTTGCGCTTTGGTCGACGAAGCAACAAAACGTCCAAAACGCATGCCGCGTCCTGTTGCAAAAGCATGTGAAAAAAAACTACAAAGTTTGCAAGGCCAAAAAGACCGTTAATCGCGCGATAAAAGAATTAACGCCGTTAAAATGGGTTTGCGTTAACGCCGTTAATAACGCGTTTAACTGACAGCCCTAGTGTTTACACTACGAAAGCAATCCATTCGAATGTGTTTTCATCTTCCTCCGGAAGTGGTGGAAAGTGGACAAGCTCAAAGCGTTTTAGACCCTGTATTTATCGTCGTCCACTTGTGATCCGATCGACCAAAACGCGTCTTAATACCAGGAGTGAACAGAGCCAGAGACCTTCTCTGACACTTCGACTGGAGGTCTCCTGTACTGACCTTGCGCACCCAGAGAGGCATCTGGTGTGTGTTGGGGGAACGATGGTGAAGGTTGAGCACCACGACACTGAGGATGACGGAGCAGGTGACCAGGATCATGGTGAACATCAGGTAGTTGACGATAATGGGAACACCCAGAGATGTTTCGGGAACCTTGTTGGCCAGCAGAAGCAGGAAGACAGTTAAAGTCAGCAGTACGTTGATTGAAAGACCCATCTTCTCCCCTGAAAAGAAAAGAGAGCTCCTCTTGATCTACTCGTGCGTACACAAGACATACTTACACAGAGTCTTAATGTGCTTTTTTAGTGATAAGGTTAATTGTACTATATAATGGAATTAATAGACCAGACTGTATAAGCAGCGCTTGTACTAATGATCCCTTCATTATTTGTTACACTCTTAACTGGGAGAACTGAAAGATTGATCTTGAGCTTATCCATGCAGGTAAAAGATCCATTTATAATGGGCAATAACAGGACATTCATTCGTTCAAGGTCAATAAAACCTCAAATCTAATAAAAAGTTATTTATATTGGTGGTTGTGTTGGACGTTTTTCCACCCACATTTTAACAGACCGCTCGTGCAGGTTTGCTCTTTACAACAGAGTATGTGATTCAACTTCTTGTCCAAGCTCTTGTCATCTCAAGACTGGACTAGTGGACGTCTAGACACACTAGACTTTGAGCATGCAAAATTTCTTAGGACACTGCAACGGTCGTGACATGACGTCACGCTCTGAAGCGTCGTTTTTATAAACATGAATTCAACATATAACAAATAGTAATACACTCAAAATGTAAAAAAATATACAAATCTACTCGACTTAACTGCAAAAATATTATTCTAAATATTCAGCCAAGGGGTCACGCCGAGACTTTAAAGATCTTCTACAGGTCACTCGTCTCCACGTGATGCGAATTCGCAGCTCAGAGTTCACCAAACTTGAAGCTTTTCGCATTCGCATGCGTATGAATGGAAATCACTGGAACATATTTGAAGGGTACGTTTACTTACACAACAACGATGTATTAAAAGTAAAGGTTTTTCTTTTGTGTTTTTCGTGTACCGACGATAACGTTGTCAAAACGATCCATGAAAACGCCAAAAAGCTGTATTATTCACGCCAGGCCAGTAGTTGTCGATGTCACTTTGTAAAGAAACACTAAGCGCCTATGGACTGAACACGTAATACGCATGCACATGGCGTCACCGTTTTCACAAATTCGCGTTTTGAGACGAAAAGTGCACGTTGAAACACGGTTTCAAAGGTGTTTTCAGGCCCGCAAGACGCCATTGTAGTGTAAATGAAAGGCCAAAACGCATCAAAAGTGTCCTGTTTTTTGTTGTGTTTTCACACCCCTCCTGATCTCACTGGCTTCCAGTTGCAGCCAGAATCAAATTTAAGGCTTTAACACTAGCTTTCAGCACCTCCCTACCTCAATACTCTCCAAAATGTTATACTTCCTTTGAATGAGCGACGTCTTGTTCCTTCACAACAAGACAAAAAAAGTCACACTCCAAAACCTTCACTTCACTCTTTTACAAACACTTATCCACCCCACACACTTAAACCAAAGCGCACGCACACACACACACACACAAACATTCTTCTCTTCTCTAGCTTGCTTTCTAATCTAGTTGTCAAATAAACCTGGCATTGTATATTAGGGCTGGGAGAAAAAAAATAGATTCACCTAGCTATCGCGATATTGTTTTTTTATTATTATTCCAGAATCGATATTACTTCAAAATAAATAGCTTTATTTTTGTCCTTCACTGTAAACCCTAACGCTCAAAATACTTAATTGGTTTGAGTAGGAAAAACTTAAATTAAACTAATTAGTTCAGTCAAATTAACTTTTATGAGTATTTAGCACTTTCTTTTTCTTTCAAGTTCACAGAATGGATATATTTTAAGTAAACTGAACTGTTTCATTGTTTTGAGTTTTATGAAATTATTTCTTTTAATTTAGACGAACTTAAGTTTAACTGAAACGGCTGGGATGTATATTTCCCAGCATGCTTTGCCGATGGCACTCGAAAGGGAGAGTAAATGCTAAAATTAAGTGTAATACAATGTTTTTTTGTGCAAGATTAATGTTAAGCGGGTGATTTAGTAATGATTAAAGTAACAACAGGTAGTTTTTTGCTCTCGGGCTCCCCCTACAGTTGGGAAACAGTATTGTCCTCTACTACTGTCGTAAACTCTGTCATCCTACATGCACGTGCAATTGTTGACAACCAGGATAGCCCTGAACACTGTAGGAGGAGGTCACATGCAGGTGTTCTGCTTGCGTCGCGTGTGAAATGTCTTCATCCCAGGTACAGTGGCATATATTTCAGCATGTCATATGAATATAATTTCATGGGTTTTATTTTTTTTCTAACGACAAATGATCGCGATGCTCACGTTTACAAGCCAGCGTCATTATAGTAGCCTAGTCTATTGGTTACCGTTTTACTGGATCTATATGATACTTCAATGCAATGTTTGAGTGGTTGATAATAACCATTTATCGTCAATATTATAATATCAAGCTACCATAAATGAATCTGCAAATTTTACAAATCGATTTGCATTATAGCTTGAGGCAAGACAAATAAACAAATATCACAGACATGTTAGGTATCCTAAAATTTGATTTTATTAATAATCTTCCTCCTTTCTTTGTACATGTTGAGTAGACTACACTTTTTAGGTCAAACATTTGCTATTTGCATTTCATCGATTGCAAAGTTCAAATCAGAACGAGAATACTAGCGATAGCTAACCATCAAAAACTAGAATATCGTTTACTAGCTACCAGATTGATAATTCGCTACTACTCTAGCGAATTAGAGAGGTTAGAGAGAGGCATTCTTTTTTCGATGGAGGGTTCGATGCTCCCTGCACACGCAAGGTCTCTCGCTCGCTTTCTCTCTCTGCCGTCCGCGCGCGTTGGAGCACAGTCTCTGTCTCGCGTGCGCGCTCGCTCTAGATTCCGGGAGATTTGAACTAATTTGCGGTATAACTTGTCGATCACGAGTGGCTCAACAGGTAGATCTATAGATAAACTCATCTTTCAGGGATTTGACCGACCGGGTTGACAATTTAGCGTGAGAAACCGGGGGTGTGGCGTACGTGTGAGCGTGTGAAACCAATCAAATGCGGGTGTCTCACGGCCAATGCGTGAGAGTTGGCAGCTCTGCAATGTTGATCCTCGTTCTGCCTTTAACGCGATCACTTTCTCTTTTTCTCTTTTTGCTTTGCTCCGATAAAACCTTTGCTTTCTTGTTTTTCTGTGCTGCTTCGGCCATGACTATAACATTTGGCTCGCAAGTCCGATTTTAAGGAAGTGGGGTTGGTGGTGGAAGTGACGTATATGCCGTAAAGCAGTCGAATTTTGTAGTTCTCTTTGTTCGCCGGTTACTACCCGAAACCCGAAGTTTAAAAGTACGATTAAAAACGCTACAGACCCCGTCAGGCTATGGCAGACGTGTCATTCAACCTATTGTAAGTTGATGTACCATCACAAGAGACTTGGAAATATATTATGAAGGTTGAAAAGTTACCTGTTGTTACTTTAATGTTTCGTTATGCTAATTTAGAAGAATTTCTGTTAATGTTGGTTTTAGGATAGTTACCATCATGGTGACAAGTGGTGCATGAGCTTGATTTGAGAGCAAATAAAACCTTTATATTGCTGCAAGTGTTATTGTATAGCATACTATTGTTAAGAAGTTAACAAAATAGTATGTTAACAAACCAGCTTGTTAAAGCTAGCTTAGGTTATACTAATAAAAGTGTTCACATTGAGATTACATGAAATTTTAAGTTAAATGTATGAATTAGTGTACTCAAACATTTCAAGTTAAGAACAATTCAAATGTACAAATACAAAATAAAAATATGTCAGTTCTGCTTACTTAAACTTTGAATTTCTTAACTTAAAAAAATTGAGGCAATTTATTGCCTTAAATTTTTTGAGTTGTGCCAACTTATTCGGGTTTACAGTGTTGCTTATAGACGAGGTTGACCAAATTTAGCCACTTTTGTTCCAACAGAGGATGAAATGTGTCGCCATCTATGAGTGTCGAGTGACGTAACATCCGTTTCAAGAGGACGCGTGAGACTGAATGCACTGAAAAGCCCTCGCACGACTCATATGCTGAGAGAGAGATAAGACAATCGAGCTTTAAAAGGCTGTGATCTCGATTCAAACACCCACGCAATCTTCTTCAAATTTGTCCGTCTATTAAACCTTTGACAAAATCATATCGCAACATTCAAATCTGTGTTGGCGCTGCCGCTGACCCAGAGAGAGTAGTCACGAAACAGCAGTCTTTTCAACCTCAATCATTCAGTATCATTATTTCTGTGATACAATAGTTAGATAATACAATAATTATCATAGAAGTACTTGGATAAAAGTTTAAGGTTCAAATACAAACACTGGTGATGTCTACGATATCGAGCAAAATAGAGTAAATCAGCTTTTGATAGAAACTTGGCGCTTAAAATAACGCGTTTATCAATTACATTGTTTCACATTGACAAGTGACTGTTAAAAAATGGATTTGTTATTGAATCATTTATTCAAGAGAATGTAATATGATGCTTCTGAAATTAAAGTCAGAAAGATGTGATGAATTGTTTTTGTAAATATGATATCTTATACATCATGTACAGTCTGTATAAGTGTATGATTTAGCTTTTCCCCATGGTCTACTGTTAAAAAAATGGCAATATATTGCAATATCGAATGGCAAAAATAAATAGATAAATCGCAATACATATCGTATCGGCACCCAAGTATCGTGATCGTATCGAATTGGGAGATAGGTGTATCATCCCAGCCCTATTGTATTATGATTATTGTTGGCTCCTTGACGAATTTCTTTTGCTCCTCTCTTTGGATAAATGCTTCTGCTAAATGCATAAATGTAAATGTATTGATGTAAATGGATTAATTCTCTTCTATTTGACCTATTTTATGGTCTGAATTTAATTTGAATTTGGATTTGACACTTTTTTTTTAAATCAATCCTGGCATCAGTTTTGAAGTAATAAAAATAAAACTCTTTACCAGCATCAGGTGGCAAGTAGAAGTTAAAGATGGCAATGATGGTGATGAGGATACAGGGCAGGACGATGTTAAACACGTAATACATGGGCTTCCTCTCGATGATCAGGTAGAAGGTGATGTCCTCGTACAGGTCCTCTCGAATATTCTTCTGAGAAACCTTATGACGAATGTGCCATTCTCCACTCTCTGGGATGACAGAAGATATGATGATGAGAAAAACAAAATGGCGTTTGTGTCTGTGTGTAGGTGTAGTGTTCAAACAATACAATGACATATACAACATTGCCATTTTGAGTGCAATCAACCAGTCATTAGGTGATTTTTTTTAAAATATAACATTTTTCAAGTATTAAAACACCCCATTAAAGAGGACTTATTATACTACTTTACATGTTCAACTTTCTTTAGTGTGTAATGTTGCTGTTTAAGCATGAAAATGGTTTGCAAAGTTGCAAAGCAAAGGCAGGTCTTCTCTATATCAGTGTCACGGTTTCTGAACTCCCTGAAACGCCTCCATTGTAGTCTTGAGCTTTTCTTCCAGGAACACGTCACAATATTCCTCATTTAAATAATTCCTGCCCAAGGCATACGCAGAATAAAGAGACGAGGCCGGGTTGAGTTAGTTAGTAGTGTGTTGAAACCAAAGCGGAAACCTGCCAGTCTCTCTCTTGAATCCAACTTAAACTGCAATTCATCGACTGGCCACTAGAGACCGGCTGCAAAGGAGAGTCAATCCCATAGACCCCCATGTTAATATGCCCAACTTTACAGCAGAAAAATATATGTTTACAGCCTGGTACAAAAAGTGGTTTTGGTCTATATAGCTAATTTTGCCCTTCATGACAACTGTGAGGGGGGTGAATTATTTTTATAATGCATCCGTTTAAATGATATTAACCCTTATGTGGTGTTTAAAACCCTGTAACACTTTTGATGTTCCCGGTCAAAAATGACCAGCCTATAAAAACAGCTTATAAATCACTTGTTATGCTATATTATCAGCTATATTAATGGCTGTCTGTTTTTGGAAGTCCACCAAAGTGCATCTTTTCATGATTAAAGCGCTCCACGGCTCAGAGGGGTTAATAAAGGCCTTCTGAAGTGAAGCGATGCGTTCGTGTAAGAAAAATATCCATATTTAAAACTTTATCGACTAAAATAACCTAGCTTCCGGTTGTGCGTCAAGTTCAAGTGTAACTCTTTTGGCGTAAATCGATACGTACGGCCGTCTGCTGGAAGCTAGTTATTTTAGTCGATAAAGTTTTAAATATGGACATTTTTCTTACACGAACGCATCGCTTCACTTCACTTCCATCATGCGCTTTGATGGACTTCCAAAAACAGACAGCCATTCACTCCCATTATCAAGCTTGGAAGAGCCAGGACCATTTTTAATGTAACTCTGATTGTATTCGTCTGAAAGAAGAATGTCATATACACATAGGATGGCTTCAGGGTGAGTAAATCATGGGCTAATTTTAATTTTTGGGTGAACTATCCCTTTAAGCCCTAAAGTTCTGCATAATTAAGGGCGTGGCCACTTGAGTGACAGGTGGATTGCCACTGCTGTCATTACTAGCCGTTTGTCTGCTGTCTGTTAGCCGTCACGTCACCTCAGCTAATCCGCCTCTGCCCATTTTCATTTATCCAAGATGGCGATGGCTGGCTCCGCCCACTTTGGGCTTCAAAAAAACTCTTCAGAAACCTACGGATGACATCACGGACACTACTTCCATATTTTTTTGGCTGAAACTCATGGTTAAGGTAAGAGGTGGGACATTTCCAAACATACTAGAAGTGGTTGACCAATCACAACACACTGGTAAAGCCGACCAATCAGAGCACACTGTGTTTTTCAGAAGGAGGGGCTTCATAGAGACAGGAACTAAACAGAGCGTTACTGAATATAGAGAGCCTAATTCCCTCCCCTTCCAGTCGACCACCATGGGACCTTATTTCGAAAAAATATTGAATGGTAGTCAAAGGCGAGAGACAACAAATATTTTGATCTCGTTTGAATTGTGCCCTGAATTACACATATGATGTTTGTCAATTTAAAAGATGCATTTTAAAGTCAAGAAAGTCGCAGTTTGATGTAAAACTGTTGAGGTATAAGACTGCGAAAATACGTAATTACAAAGACTACAAACCCAAAAGGCGCACATTTTCTCTCAATGAATGAAGCTAACTTTACTGAAGCTAACTTTACTGAAGCTAACTTTACTGAAGCTAACTTTACTGACGCTAACTTTACTGACGCTAACTTTACTGACGCTAACTTTACTGACGCTAACTTTACTGACGCTAACTTTTTACTGACGCTAACTTTACTGACGCTAACTTTACTGAAGCTAACTTTTGTCATTGTTGCTATAGTCTTACGTTATAATCGTAATGTTACGCCGTCACGCCTGAGTGTTTTGTACCAGACTGCACACACACGAGTAGCGGATCTCGCTCGTTGTTTCGCTTCCCAGGAGATGTAGTTCATCGAGCTATTTTCACATTAAACTAAATGTTACTCTTCTGTTTCATGACAAACTGCGACTTTCTTGACTTTCATAATTATCTTTTAAATTGACAAACATATCATATGTGTAATTCAGGGCACAGTTCAGAAGGAGTAAAAAGATAAGTTGTCTCTCGCCATTGACTACCATACATATTTTTTCCGAAATAAGGTCCCATGAGCCGGAAGCGGAGGGTATTGGAAAAATAATGTGTTTTCTGAACATTCAAGCATAGCCCAAAAACAAAATTAAGACTTTTGTAAAAAGGCATAATAGGTCCTCTTTAAAAGTATTTTTTTTTTAAAGTTAAAATGACATTTCACTTGGCTGAGATAAGGTATAAAACTAGATAGGTTCAAGACAATCTTTCACATTGGCTTGAAAAAGCTTTGTCTGAATGTTTAAAAGGTTGTTGTGCGTTGTGCATTACCGCTGAAGCCTGTGTCCAAGACTATCTCTCGGATTTCATTTCCCTTCTTATCAAGGCCAGGCTGCAGATCCACTTCTGAGGAATCATACGTGTAAGAACGGAAAACCATGGTGCAATTTTGCCAGTCAAAAGGGAAGTATGTCACCTGCAGATGGAGAATGTGATGTGTGCATGTTATTGTGTGTGTGTGTGAGCATCTTCCTTTAATCATCTCTCTTTCTGATTTCACACATGCAAAGACCAGACGGAACATCAAACGCAGCCATACTAGAGCGAGGCCAAACAAAAGCAGCAATACAAATGAGGAGGGGGAAAAGTTCACAAAACAAGTACAAAAGTGAGAGAGATTGCCACGAATATGAGGTAAAAAAGACTCTTTTAAACAAGCAGCATTGTAATATATTGTTAATATATTCATAGTGCAGTTGTGCTGAGTATAAACACTTGTGATTTAATGCGTCATTAAACGTCTTTTGTTTCGACACATCATTACAGTATTTAGAGGGCTCATCCATAACTTACTTTTATTACTACAGTATTTACCGAAAGGTGATGAACATTCATCAAGAACAAAAAAATGAGTGCTAAAAAGAAAACATTAAAGTACCATCACCTATAATGTATACACATCTTGAATTGTTATGCCATGCTGTTAATGTTTCACAGCACTGATTTAAACAATTAATGGAGCACTTGATTGTTTTATTGGTCCATTATGCAGTACAGCATGTCTGTTGTGTTGCAGGATTTACCTTCACTCCGCAAATACTCCTGAAAAGAGCAGGTGGAGTCCACGTCACACGGCCATTACTGTAGGCCTGCACGTGGACCTGTAGAGCTACATCGAACACGCCGTCATTACTGCACACACAAACACAAGTTTAAGCGCAGATAAACTTGCATAGCTACTAAAAACCTAAACCTCCACATTGAGGCAATTTGAATGAATGAATGCCTTTATTGTCATTGCATTTAGTACAATGAAATTATAGCCACTCTAGTGAGGTGCATCATTATAACACATATACAATATATAAAACTCATCACACAACATATTCATTTAAAACATATGCATACCCACACACAGAGTACATCTCACTCATCATTCATCCCAAACCCTCACTCATCTTTCCTGCAAGCACACCCTAACCATAGCATCAAAAAATAAAATATAAAAAACACACAATTTACCCACTCTCCTGCTAAGTGGCTAATAAATAATCTAATGTAATAAAGTGCTGAGTGTCTTAAAAAAAAAGTTTCGCTTCATTTAGGACTGTTAATGCTTTAGGAAAGAAGCTATTCCTAAATCTACTAGTCTTTGAATGGCACCACTATAACGTTTTTCCCCCCTGAAAGTAGTCCACATTGACAATATCAAATTCAAAATGAGAGTTTCTTTGGGTTTGGGGTATTCCAGAACTAACCTGGTTAACCTCAACTTTCAGTTCCAAAACCTGAGGTAACTTTCAGGGTATGCAAGTAGCCAAATCAAATCATTGATTTTCTATCAATGTCCCGTCATCACTTCTTCTGAACATGCTGAGAGCCCATCAGATGTTGAACACCCACTACCACTGACTATCTGGCTGTAGTTGAAGACACTCAGTAGCCGCGTTACCATTTACATTTAAATAGCTAATTATAAATACGCACAATGGATACACGTCAATTTCGAAAAAGGAGTATTTCGCAAAACTTCAAGGGAAACAGTTTTTGTGCATTTACAGGTCACCAGACGGTATGATGGACAGAAGACGAGACAGTTCTTCATTAAACTCATAAAAGACAAAAGTATTACGGGAATACTGGATTCTAAACAACAAAGAAAAGCCACAATTGATCAAGACCTCAAAGCAGATATGAGGGAGAAACTTCTCATACGTGGCCGCTCACAAGTATAAGAAGCTTTCCTTGTCATTAATGCTTGGATAACACGCCTGCGTCTCCTTCCATTAAAAATAATGTCTAGTGCGGTGGCTGAGATATACTTAAACTAACGTCGGTTGCCATGATTTTTGTAATGACTCACCGCGAGAGGGAAAAAATTAAGTTTCAATCGCATAACATCGGTACATGGAAACGGCGTCATTTCGCAATAGTTTTTTTTTAATCGACATTTAGAAAATATCGCAAAAGTTTTCAGTAGCACCTCATTGCAGTACACCAGATCCAGGGGGCGGAGTTGGATCCAGATCTAAGGGGTGGAGATGGGTAGGATTAGGTATATGTAAGGTGGGAGAGATCCTCCCCCTGGATTTCGTGTTCTGCAGTGAGGACTATCTCAAAGTTTTTCGCTAATCTGTAATGGAAACGCGGCTAGTGATGCGGTCTCTGCATTATGTCTCGAGAGCTGTGCTTCTTAGGTAGTCTGTAATGTGACACACGCACCGGGGGTTTCTCTGAGTGCAGATACTGGCCTGCAGTCATAAACAATCTTAAAACACATTTCAGAGTCGACCCGGGAACTTAAAGGGAAGGTTTACACACGCACGCACGCACACACACACACACACACAAACCCACCTTGTCCCAGGTGCTGGGAAATGGCACTGGCTCTTGTTCATCTCGTGTGTTGTTTATTGTTGCTTATTAGGTGTAAGTGTATGTACTATTTTCTTTTGTCCTTTTTGGAGGTCGACAGGCAATTGTCATTGTCAGCTTAGAGTTACTGACATGTCACTGTCCAATTATGTTTTTTATGATATATTGTATGACTGTATCACAATAAGTAAGAGTAATACCCACAATTAAGATGGATTGACCATTTGAGCCCTTAAACCATTCGGCAATGGTGTATAATCCTCATAGGACACAAAACAGGCATTTAAAACTTCCCATCTATTACGGTAATGGTGCTGTGGGACTCTAAGATCTCCCTCACTGAACAGTGTGTGTGTGTGTGTGTGGGAATGAATGCAGGACCAGAGAGGCTTCTAGCGGACAGCAGTGTTGTTTAATTGGCTATAAAGCAGAGATGAATGAAGGAGGCATGATATTTACACCAGCAGTGATGAGGGTCTACCTGGGCATTACAACTAGAGTGTGTGAGAAAGGTGTGTGTGCATGCATCTCTCGACAAGCTTCACAAGCGCTTTGATCATTTATTTGTTATTTTTGCTGTTCTTGCAGAAACTCAACAAAGACTCTCTAAGATAATGTGCCTGACACTAGGCTTTCTGAGATAATATGTGAAGAAGCATCACACACACACACACACACGCACACACACACACAACTCACTTGTTGATGAGAACAATATCAGGAAGCCACACTTTTGCAGACGGGATACGCAACACATCAAATCCCCCGTAATCTTTCGGGTTCCAGGAGAGGCGATAATCGTTCCACTCCTGCAAGAGCAACAAAAGGTGTGTGTGTGTTCATGTACAGATAGATGAGGGTCATCGTTGAAATTATAAGTACAACCAGTTCATAATTTAATCAAATGATCTGGCTTGTGTCATTAACAACACCAAATGCAATATCTCTGCACATTTGTCAATACATATTATCAACGCCATTTGCATAATCTTTCATTTCGCATTCAAAGTTATGCTATATTGATCCAAGTTATTATTGTCAGAGTTTGTCTTGTGAGGTAACGTGGTAATTTCAGTCCTCTAAATCAGTCATGATAGATGATATAGATAACTTTTCTTCGATGCAAATAAAGCTTTATGAATTAGAATTGCGCTCAAGACGTTATTTATCAAAATGACACACGCAGGAGTCGGAAGAAATCGTGCTGACTTACCAAGTTCATAATAACAACGGTGTTCATCTCCTCATCTTTCATGTTCTAGAACACAAAAAATATGAAACGGAACAAATAAAAATAATTAAATAATTCAATTAGTTAATGCACACGTGTTTAGAGTTTCAAAATGAGAAACTCAAGAGTTTCAAAATTTCTTTGGGTTTTACAATGACAATTTACAATATCTAGAGTGCCTGGCTGTGATCTGACCATAGGTATGAGTGTGATGTTGCTTTTATACAACAGTACAATAAACAAGTTGTTAATATTGAGCAAATCACATTTTAGACACAATACGGCCAGTTATTTAGTTTATTTTTACTCTACCAATGACAACACTATCAAAGAAATATCAGCAATCCTGGAACGCTGCTTCCCGAACTGGCGGCTCTGTAAAATGAACTCAAGAATGCCAATTTAAAGCAATTTCAACACTATGCTATATTGGGCAAGGTAAATCATATTTTTTTTTAAATTATATTTTTAGCTTGAAAAGGACATTTCTCAAGCCTTACCTCCATAGCAGGAGCTCTTGTGAATGTAAAAAACACTGTAATCATCTAGCACTATACACTTAGTTGTGGACACTTAATATTCAACAATAATATTGATCTCCCTGCATTGACTCTAGGGCTGCACAATATATCAAAATTATCGAAATATCGCGATATGCATATCGCAATGGCTTGGAATAACTGGGATCATGAGCAAAAGACAGAGAGAATCACTCACTGCTCTTGGCTGAATAACTTTTCTAGCTTTAATAGAAAAGGGGGGAGTCTGAATATTGTGCTCCAAAGCATTCTCTACCATGCTTTGGAGCACAATATTTGCGCGCTCGCTCTAGATTACGGGATATTTTGACTAATTTGCGGTATAACTAGTCGATCACAAGTGGCTCAACAGGTAGATCTATAGATAAACTCATCTTTCAGGCATTTGACCGACCGGGTTGACACTTCAGCGTGAGAAATTGGGGGGGTGGCATAAGAGCATGAGAAATTGAGTCAATTGCGTGAGTCTTACGCTGAATGCGTGAGAGTTGGCAGCCCTGCTTTAAGCATTATCGCCTATCGCATTATTTAATGAGTTATCGCATATCGCATTTTTCTTAAATATCATGCAGCCCTAATTGACACCACTATATGACAACTGAACTGAGCTGGACGATGACATCTCTATTTCTCCAGAGCAGCTGTATATATATACATATATATATATATATATATATATATATATATATACACAAACCTAAAGGATTATTAGGAACACCTGTTCAATTTCTCATTAATGCAATTATCTAATCAACCAATCACATGGCAGTTGTTTCAATGCATTTTTGGGTGTGGTCCTGGTCAAGACAATCTCCTGAACTCCAACTGAATGTCAGAATGGGAAAGAAAGGTGATTTAAGCAATTTTGAGCGTGGCATGGTTGTTGGTGCCAGACGGGCCGGTCTGAGTATTTCAGTTCAGTATCTGCTCAGTTACTGGGATTTTCACGCACAACCATTTCTAGGGTTTACAAAGAATGGTGTGAAAAGGGAAAAACATCCAGTATGCGGCAGTCCTGTGGGCGAAAATGCCTTGTTGATGCTAGAGGTCAGAGGAGAATGGGCCGACTGATTCAAGCTGATAGAAGAGCAACTTTGACTGAAATAACCACTCGTTACAACCGAGGTATGCAGCAAAGCATTTGTGAAGCCACAACACGCACAACCTTGAGGCGGATGGGCTACAACAGCAGAAGACCCCACCGGGCACCACTCATCTCCACTACAAATAGGAAAAAGAGGCTACAATTCGCAAGCGCTCACCAAAATTGGACCGTTGAAGACTGGAAAAATGTTGCCTGGTCTGATGAGTCTCGATTTCTGTTGAGACATTCAGATGGTAGAGTCAGAATTTGGCGTAAACAGAACGAGAACATGGATCCATCATGCCTTGTTACCACTGTGCAGGCTGGTGGTGGTGGTGTAATGGTGTGGGGGATGTTTTCTTGGCACACTTTAGGCTAGCCTCGTGAGACCATCCTGATCTCGCGAGCTTTCAAGGTTTCACTCGCAGATCAGTCTGGATACTTTCCGTTAAAGAAAATTTGGGAGCAGTTCACCAAACGAACGTCCAATCAGCGTTGGCTTTGAGGCGGGTTGAGGTGTGACGCAACGAGAAGCGCGTCAGTTCAGTCTAAAGAACATGTCGGCTTCAGCGGATGAAACTAGCATCAGCGTGGCTATCGAGCAAGTTTTATCGGAATTACAGAGTATTTCTTCACTGAAAGAAGAGCAAAACACTGCTCTGGAGGCTTTTCTCAGAGGAAAAGATACGCTCTGTTAGTACGTCATATGCTTTGTTGATCTGATTGGTTGATTTGGCCCGTCTATCACCAACATAGGCCAATCAGCTAACCAGTATTTTCGCCCCTTACCAAAACTACTTCAACGGAAGGTTTCCAGATGGATATGCGGAGCAAATCCATCTGGCGGAGTCAGGTTAACTTTAGGCCCCTTAGTGCCAATTGGGCATCGTTTAAATCCCACGGCCTAACTGAGCATTGTTTCTGACCATGTCCATCCCTTTATGGCCACCATGTACCCATCCTCTGATGGCTACTTCAAGCAGGATAATGCACTATGTCACAAAGCTCGAATCATTTCAAATTGGTTTCTTGAACATGACAATGAGTTCACTGTACTAAAATGGCCCCCACAGTCACCAGATCTCAACCCAATAGAGCATCTTTGGGATGTGGTGGAACAGGAGCTTCGTGCCCTGGATGTGCATCCCACAAATCTCCATCAACTGCAAGATGCTATCCTATCAATATGGGCCAACATTTCTAAAGAATGCTTTCAGCACCTTGTTGAATCAATGCCACGTAGAATTAAGGCAGTTCTGAAGGCGAAAGGGGATCAAACACAGTATTAGTATGGTGTTCCTAATAATCCTTTAGGTGAGTGTATATATATATATATATAAATGAACTAAATAAATATCTTTTTTACAACAGAAATGAACCGAAAGAATCAACAACAGAATGAATCACTGAACTAACTTAAGCTGTACTATGACAGTATTTTCTTCTAGATCTGAAACAAACTTAGTTGCATTATTTTCCTGTTATCACTGTAAAGCTGCTTTGAAACAATCTGTATTGTAAAGCGCAACTGGCGTGTTTCATAGACGGTTGATACACAAATGGGGGAGTTTATAAGGAAAACATTGGGCATATCTATAATGAAGAATCCCTGAATTCTCTGCTACTGAGATGTGTTTAAACCCAACACAAATAATGGGAACATGGCTCCAATGGGAGAAGGGGGTGATGGGAAATGATTATCAGACAAGGGAAAGACCCGAGACTCAATGTTAGATCAGTACACAGTCCTGAATGCTATTTAAAACTAGCGTAGGAATGTCAGCTGTCAGTACCAAGCACAGACAGTGGGGGGGGGGGGGGGGGGGGGGGGGGAGGGTCAACACACACACACACACCATAACACTCATATAGACATTGTATATATACAGTACACTTCATATGATTAATATGCATGCAATGCCTTACATGTGTGGATGCTTCCAGGCTGATTAAGAGCGACACATGAATAATATCTCTAAGTTTTGGACACACATTTGGTAGTTTGAACAAAATCCACGTGAAATCACTGTTCATGAAGCCTGTAGAGAAGCTCCTTTCTGTTCTGAGTAATGAAAACAAAACATTGATAAGAAAGTGCAAATGCAAATCTGTGTGTGCACTGCTATCTGAGACCAGGTTATTAAATCCCTGTGTTAGGAAGTGAAGGATCCCATGACCTGATTCACATACCGAATCCACACACTGAACAGCTGAAGCAACCATCAGACCTGCTTCAAACTAGCTTTTATTATTAGCCTACAAAGAATGGGAGAGGTTTTCCTTTGGACAATTTATCTTAACTCGAATTAATAGCGCTTTGTAAAGCGGTCATATTATTTCATTTTTATGAGGATCGTAACCAGTCATATTTTTTCCACACTCTGTGGGTCTGTTTTTTGCTGACGTACCTTTAAGAAATACATGTGGAAATGTTTTTGACTCGCTCTTTAAAAAGTAACCAACTCATGATAAACAGGGTTTCTGAAGGTTTTATGAAGGTACATTTAAGTCTTTTTAAAAAGACCTTTTTAAGACCAAGTAAAGAAAATGTAAGGAATAAATTAAAGGGAACATGATACATCAATATGTCCTCTAAATGTAAAAAAGGAGAAACACAATGAGTTGTATCAATCCGTTTTACAAAGGAGCAGCTTGAATCGCTCTGCTCCCAAACACTAGATTATGGAAATAAATTTTACTGTACTTTCTGAACACAGATGTTCTTCCTCAATTATTTTTGTCTTTTCCAGTGCAAATGTCTAAAGATTTTCTTAAATCAAGATACATTTACGGGAGATACAACATGTGTGAGTTTATAATAAAAACAAGAACTAATATCTGCCAATGGGCTCAAAAAAAAAAAAAAAAATTCAAAGGGAAGTTTTCATAACTCATTGATAGATATTTGTTCTTGTTCAAATTTTTAAGACCTAATTTTTACATGTTCATCACAAAAATGTATCGTGATTTAAAGATGTTTAGATATCTGTATTGGAAAACTGGACAAAAATATCATTTTTTTGCAATGTATGCAAAATTTCATGCCACGACATCATGAATTTAAGACGTTCTGCTCTGATTTAGGACCTTTTTAAGGTCTTAATTTGTGTAATGTCGAATTAAGACGTTTTAAGACCCACAGAACCCCTGGATAAAATGACGAGCTTTTCAGTCAGACAATCACCACTTTTTCGCCATTCAACTACTACTAATAATAATAATAATCATTATTAATTATTAACATTATTTGTATAGCACCTTTCATTCAAGAAATAAAGATTAAAGTGCTTCACAATAAAAAAGCACTACATTAGGTACCAAGTAATTCACATTTAAAAAAAAATAAAACCCATAATCAATATAACATTAGATTAAAGTCAAGACAAATTAATTTCTATAGCGTTTTTTACAACACGGTTTCACAAAGCTATTTTAGACCGGTCTATATAGCGTTAGACAAGTCTAAAAATTGCTTATAGACTAGTCTAATGGAAGTTAGGGTTAGGGTTAGGGTTACAAAAATAAAGACTGACTTAATTTAGACCAAAAAAAATTAGACACCTTTCCCCCAGGGCTAACTTAGGTCTATTGGTGTGTTCACACCGAACGCGAATAGAGCGTCAAATACGCGTCTATCGCGTCTAGTTAGACGCTTGAACATTCGCTCGAGTTCAACATTTTCAACTTGCGCGGAAGACATTCGCGGCAAACGCGTCGCCCAATTCGCGTCATTCGCAACGCCCGGCGCGAATGATGCGTCTATTCGCGTCTTTGCATTGACTTTGTATGTAATCTACTCGTGCAAACAATTAAATTCGCGTTCGGTGTGAACACACCATAAGACTCTGTCACCTTGGCAACCAGCAGTAACAATCAGTTACATTACAAACAGCCGAAAGAAAACATAGGTGACTGTCCACCATATACAGTATATTCATCACCATTTCAGTGTCTTTAAGTTTCTCTTGAGGTCCTCCTCCCGTTTTTGGATATTTCCTCTTAAATATTTCTTTTTTGGCATCTTGTAACCATGTTTTTGTATCTTTTCTGTACGTCTTTAACGCTGTTAACTGTCGTAGCAATCTTTGTCCAAATTAAACATTTCTTCTTGTTACTACATTCTCCGCTAAATTTCCCAAGTAAAATGTCCTTGTAACTGTTGTACTCCTCAACAAACACATATTTTCCACTGGGGTAAACTGCACTGAGCGGTTGAATGCGCTTACTCGATCCGCCATGTTTTTTGTTTTGAAAAGTGTCTTATTTTACCCAGAATGCATTGCAGTGTAGTCCTACTTGAGATAGTCAGAGTCTTAAGTGCTTTGTGCAACGGTCTGATTTAGATGTCTATCTGAAGTCTGACTATCTACTATATCTAAGCCATAGTCAAAGTCTATCTTTGTGAAATCGGCCCCTGGACTCCCAGTCTAAGACCAGCCTGACCATCTGAAGAAGTTGCCAAAAATCCCTCTAAAACCAGCCTGCTAATGACCAGACTGGAAGACCAGCTTAGGCTGCTTTTAGCTGTTTATTTCCCAGCAGGGTTAATAATAAAAATAACGATAATATAACACAACAATGGTGCCCATTAAGTTCCATAAATATGTGTGTTTGTATCTCATACCAGGCTGACGAATGCTGAAAGGGTCATGCCTATCCTCACGACAACCTTTTCCTCTGGGCTCCTTGCAGGCCGGACTTTAACGTTGTATGAAGAAAACAGTTTCTTCATCAGCTTACCTTCCGTTTCTGATGCACCTAGGAGAGATGATGTCTTTCAGGTAAATAGAGCAGTACAACTCTCTTCTGCCCTTTGACACTGCGAGCCTTAGCGATCAATTCCGGTTTATTGCTCAGATCCAGATTTGTCTGTACAGCTGTTCACATTGTTGTTTTAAATGTGGCCAAAGTCAGATTCCAGAGCGAAGAGATCTTTTTTTTTTAGTGTGATCTGCCGTGGAAGCAAGTCAACTTATGCACAGGCAAATCAAAGACAAGGAAACGAAATAAGAGAGCAGAGTTTTTAAACATTTATGATTATGAGCCATCATGTGTTGCTTGTGTATAGAGCGATAATGTCTTGATAAGGTCGGGTATGTAAAATCTTTGAAGATGATAATTGTGACGAATGTCGATCTATAGTGACGTAAAAGTCGCTTGAATTTGACTGTTCACACTGCGGTCGCATTGCTAAACATCTGAGCTGTATCGGATTTAGTACCACATATGGAAGTGGCCCAAATCAGAATGGAAAAGATCAGATTCAATGTGTTTTTTTCGGTTCACACTCGTGACAAAAACAGATCGTAGTCACATATGAGCAAATAAATCGGATTTGGGCAACAATTACCAGCAATCTGAACCTAGCCTGAGGGTACGGCGTTTACACGACAACTATATGCTTAAAATGGTAAGTTTTCCGTACAGACGCACAGATCTTCATTCAAATGGATCCGCGAAAAATGACCAAAAACGCTGTATTCTGCTGCCAGGCCGTTAGATGGCGATGAAGCACTATAGATTAAACATGTAATAGAGAGCCTAAGTCCCTCCCCTCCGCTTCCGGCTCATGGGACCTTATTTCGGAAAAAATATGTATGGTAGTCAATGGCGAGAGACAACTTATCTTTTTATTTCGTCTGAACTGTGCCCTGAATTACACATATGATGTTTGTCAATTTAAAAGATAATTATGAAAGTCAAGAAAGTCGCAGTTTGTCATGAAACGGAAGAGTAACATTTAGTTTTATGTGAAAATCGCTCGATGAACTACATCTCCCGGGAAGCGAAACAACGAGCGAGATCCGCTGCTCGTGTGTGTGCAGTCTGGTACAAAACACTCAGGCGTGACGGCGAAACATTACGATTATAACGTAAGACTATAGAAACAATGACAGACGTTAGCTTCAGTAAAGTTAGCTCCAGTAGATTTAGCTTCATTCATTGAGAGAAAATGTGCGCCTTTTGGGTTTGTAGTCTTTAAGTATTTTCGCAGTCTTAAACCTCAACAGTTCTACATCAAACTACGACTTTCTTGACTTTAAAATGTATCTTTTAAATTGACAAACATCATATGTGTAATTCAGGGCACAATTCAAACGAGATCAAAATATTTGTTGTCTCTCGCCATTGACTACCATACAATATTTTTCCGAAATAAGGTCCCATGGTGGTCGACCGGAAGGGGAGGGACTTAGGCTCTCTATAGTGCATGACGTCATCGTTTTCACAGATTCACGTTTTTATCGTTTACACAGAGACCGTTTTCAAAAACTTGCACTTTGAAACCGTTTTCAAAAGAGTTTTCAGCTACCCAAAATGCGGTTGTTGTGTAAATGAACGGCCAAAACGCATAAGTTTTACGTTTATAATTGAAAACGGTGTTGTATAAGTCTTTAAAGAATCTTAAGTATTAAAAGTCTTGCCGGTTGACAAAAATATGTCTTGTGCATAAGGCAGTTTACTGCCTAATCTTTGAGTAAAGCAAAGTGAGTGTAATGATGGATGGATGGATTTGAGCTCTGAACAAAGGCGAACAGATAAGAGACTCACGAATAGCCTTGGTTTTCAGAGCCGCATCACACAGTTTTGAGGGTGACTGTTTACTCCACCGCCCCGGCCATCTGAGGTTTTTATGCATCATGTCTGCTGTTTTTTCCCCTCAGCTTTCGAAGGTTGGGCGCATTTATAAGTAGGCCTTCTAGGGCCGCCACATTCATCAAGTGTCGCCAGCTCGAGCCCCCCAGAATACGAACTGACAGTAACAAACGACACGCGTCACCTTCATTACCAACGGCTGCTGCTCGGAGCATATGCACACACATTCACATGATTTTGACTGACTTTTTCTGCGAGTAATAACTTCAAGTGGCTTTTATTGAGAAAGGAAACCCCAACGCTGTACTGAAACTGCATGGAAATGAGAAATCTTTTTTTTCTTCTTCTTGTGTGAGCCTTTATATTGTGAAATAAACGAGGCCTTGCTGAGAATATGCCATCTGCTGCCCAGCAGTCCCATTGAAAGCTTCCCTACAATAATTACCACAATTAACCTCTCCGAAAGACCTTTAAATCAACTTTTAATTTAAAGAGTTCCTGGTGATATAGTCTCTGACTCGAGGTTAATTTACAGTTTTCCCAGGAGTATTCATAAAACTGGTAATCTTGAACAAATGTCCCTTTTATTTATTTTAATCACTATTTTCACAAGTGGTAAATTCTCCTAACTGACTCTCATGCTTTCTGATGTATATGTTTTCTTTCACACAATCATTCTGCTTCAAAACACACAATTATTGTGACATGCCATTGTGAACATTTGGTTTAAGCACAAAAACATCAATTTATGGATCTTAATGACCAGTCAACCCAATAGTAAACAACGCGAGATACACGTTTCATATCACCCTTAGAGTGTTTCTGAATGAAAAATACTACAGAATTGTAGTAGGCTACAGACATCGTATAAGAAATGCACTTTATGTTATCAAATGAACATGAGACCACCATGAGGTTTTGTGCCAATTCTGAAAGCAGAATTGTTAAAGGCGTAATAATTGTACAGTATAATGCTATTATGGTTCGCTATAGACTGCAGACATATTGCATTCCTGACAAATGACTGACGTGATACTGCAGTTGACCTTTTCACACTGGGCTGTTATATTAATCTGTCATATAATAGTAAGACGTCATTTATTTATATATTATGGTATATTGTACTCTTTGACCAAATCAGAAATCATAGCTATATGACATAGTAGTAGGCTACATCAAATGATGTGTTAAATAACCAATAAGATAATTCGGATTAAACTGTACAGTTAATGAGAACAGGTCAAATGACAGGCTTTATCTCATAATTGGATTGTGAGATTTGAGGTAGTTAAAAACATGTAGGTTAATGTTTGAAATGACTAAAATTATGTGGAAAACGGTACCAAACCGATTTAAAATGTGGAAAAAAAGAAGAAGAAAAAGAATAATTTTAATGATCTTTTTCAAACCCCTCTGGTGTTTTAGGACCTCAGAACTTCGATTTACTATGATGTTACTGTTTAAGTTTACTGGGCATTTACACGTGTGAAAACACAACGCACACACTCAGTTTGGAAACTTCAACTCAACTTACCTGCCATTGCGCTCAGGCCACAGAGGCAGCAGGAGACAATAAACCAGTCCTGGGCCTTCATGGCGATCCACCAAATGAAACCACAGGGATATCTTCATAGAAAGTCAACGTGAGGGTCCATTCGTGTTTTTGCAACAAGTCAGACCGCTGTCACTGTGCTCGGGTTACAGGCGCGCGGCCGTGTCTATGCGCGCGCTCAAGAAGGATCGAGCTCACGCGCCCACACCAAACGTCAGCTAAGAAAATAGTATTTCAGAGAACTTATTTTTGTAACTTAATATTTTTTTTTAATCATCATTTCATATTTCTGTTTTCTGCACGGCGTTAGCTACTTCTGCAATTAAGATTTCTGTAAATGTAAATGCATTTTTATCAATGCCTCGTCGTCGATAGCGATCTGTGTAAAAAATAGCCACTTAAAATGTTGATAAGCTGCGCTGTCTTTGCAATGTAAAGATGACAAAAGTTAGGCCTGCATTCACAAAAGGTACTATTTTTCTAATTCAAATCCATATTCACAGACTGAAAGAGCACATGCATGGTTTAACTCCATGTATTTGACATTAAAAATCATGAACATTTCAAATTATTTCGAGGCAGAGCACTCATATAAGTTACCTTACATTGAGGTAGTCACTGAGTCTTCCCCCAAATGTGCTCTTTAAATAAGGCAAACTGATGTGTTTGAATCCACGCCAGAATATTTATTCAGTTCCGGGGTGCTTTTGGCTCGAGACGAGGTGTAGCATTAATGTGCTGTACTTTTATGTAATTCATCAGAGCTGTTAAAAAGAATTATGCAGCTTTATCCCACCAATTAGATTAAAGGATGAGATTTATTCCGCTGCTCTCGAGTGTTGACACTTTGATGGGCCTTTTGAAATTAGAGGTCAGGGGATTGCTGAAGTTTTTCCTCCGCAGTTAGCAGGATAACAGATGGAAACCTGCTTTCTGCGTGGGAACAAAGCGAAAGACACTTGGAAACACATGCCACCCGTCTCCCGTTCATCCTCACTTCCCGTCGAGCCGTAATGGCGCCGTCCCACCATATTCACTGTTTGGTCCTCGGCCAATTTAATCATTATAGAAGTCAACTTAACAACCCATAACTAATGCTGACTCGCCTGTATAATTCTATTGAGATGACAAACGCTGGCACTTACCTGAGCGCCAATTAATACGCCTTACTTTAAACGAGGGCATTGAATTATACGTACATCTGAATGGCTGTTGTCACAGAGCGTTTACACAGTCACAAGCAGAGAATAAAACAAATGACACTTTGGTTTTACAATCATACAAATATATTAGTTTTATTCAATAATGTTTAATAATACGTCTCCCATAGACTTATAGAAATAGATATAGATTCTATTGCAAATACGGGGCTGAGAGTTTATGCATGAATAGAGTATTAAGAGTAACAGTGAGTTAAATACTAAAACAGGAATCATCTTTTTTTTCTCTCATTTTAATTGTTAATGTGTCCAGTAAATATTGGTACATGCATGACTGTATTGGGTTGTTCCTTCCAATATTGCAAAATACCGTAGATGTGCCGTTTCCGTCCAAGTGGTCCAGTTGCACGAAGCCAAAGTTCGAGCGAGTCTGTCCGGGTGGTTATAAAAATTAAAAATAGTGTCATCGTGGCTTTGACTGGAAGACCTTTGCTTTGTCTTGGTTTGGAAGACGAGAGAAAACGAATATGGTTTATTTTCCTTTCTTTTTGGAAGACTTCCTTACAATAACTTGGATAATCCATGCAGAACATACAAAATGTATGGGATTCCTTCTCAATAAAGCAGACTCTCATTGTCCATAAGCACATCTCCGACTTGAACTGATATGAGGTGGGCGTTTTAATATGCACACACTTCAACGGTGACGGCAACAAACCAGCAGTCAGTCTTGATGCAGAAGATCCCAAACAGTGTCCATTTAGGGTGTAAGATCATGACCTCTGTTGACCTTTAGAGCAGGGATCGACACTCAACACACAGACCGAGAGTTCGGGCCCATCGCCATTGGTCACCAATTGTCTTTTTCATCTTCCCAAAGTGAGCTTAAATGGGACTGTTTGCATCACAAGGTTGAATGGCAACGCTGAATCCACACGGTTTCACTGATTTATACCAAGTAAACACAAATAAAACTGAACACGACCTTTCGTTTTCAGGGACACAGAAACTGAAGGAACAAACAGACAGTAAAAACACTGACATATTGGTTCATGATTCATATGTTTTCAAAGTGTCACATGTTCAGGACCACAAACAGATGGAAGCGACTGGGACTTAAAAAAATAACTCATAATATATATATATGTAATATTATAAAACTATAATAAAATATTTATAATGATTTGCTTGAAATATTACATATTCAATTCAAAATAATAAGTTATAATACCCATTTTATAAAAATAAAAGTTGAACTGCTTTTCATCCTGTGAGATGCGGGAGCCGAGGTCCGAGTGATTCTGTCGAGTTTTATAGATTAGACAGTAAAAACTGTTACATTGGTGTTCATATTTCATATTTTGAAAGCATCTAAAGAGAGATTGAACAATTCCATTCAAACATTGGCCGTTCAAAAGAATGACTGATAATAATCATTTTTATAATTATATTCAAATACTTAATATTCCATTCAAAATAGGTAATAATAGTATTTTTAACAAAAAAAAAAAACACAAAACAAAACTAGTTGTGACTGTATTTCACGTAAAATTGAGCCAGGGGAGACACGTCCAAACATCGTCTCTTTCCAGCCACATAAACAGCAGTTAAGCCCTAAACTAAAGGTTACCTCCAAGGGACCGTGGGAGAACTCTGTGATTAAACTAAAGCTGGGATGGAGCTGAAGAACTCAGATCTCTAAAGGTCACTCTCGCAACACACATCTGCCGAGAGACTAACACCCCACTGCTGTGTATGCAATGCAGATGTGCAGAGTTTAAAATGCAGCAGAGTTTCTCTCTCTCTCTCGTGGTCACACACACACACACAGAGGCAATGACATTCAGCTGAGGAGGGGAAGCGTGGTACATTTGCACAGCGCTGTTGTGAGGGCTAAGAGATGTATCCTGGGGGACGAGACTTTGGTCGAAACATGGGAGGAGGGTTGAGTTTTTGTCTTTTCTGCTGCATTGCAGATGCTGGGTTGGGGCTACTCCTCAAAGTCACGCACACATGAACACACACGCAAAGCAATTACAGACACTGACGATCAGTAAATACAGGGGCTCTGCAGCTCAACAATTCTCTCATGTAAAATAATCGTATCACGCCACTGATTTTGAAAATATATATTCAGAATCCACATAACGCAAGAAGAAAATCACATGAAACTAATATGTATGCACTTCTCATGTCTGGAAAATGATGTAGTTTACTTTAACTCTTTAACTGCTGTTGGTAATGATGATAAACTAATGTCTGATTGTCTATTAAGAGCCCAGACTATATCATGTATGACATAAACCACATCAATCTGGAGAAAAAAAAAGTAAATGTACTGCATTTTAAAACCCAAAGGATTCTTGCAAACAATATGTGAAACAAAATCCAACCAAAACATATGCCCATTAAAACATTATCTGAGGAAAATAAAACACGCAACTAACAGCAAACAATGCAAACTTGGATGTTTTGTAGATTCTATCTAAAAATGGACACAAACACATATAAAAAATAATGCATATTATCAGCACACACACACACACACACAAATGATAGTGGCTTTGTTCACACTGCACACAAATCTGATTTGGTTTTCAAATCTGATGACTTTGTAAATGACGCAATCCGGTCCGTCTGTTCAGGTAATGTAGTGGATATCCGGTGTATTCATATTGGTGGTTTGGTTATAGTGATGATGTGAAGTGTCAGCATGATGCCAAGAGACTTCACAACAACCGAGACGCTGTCATTGAGAAAGGAGGATGGAAATTTAGCGGTGTTGTAAGCATTCATGCATAGTGTCAAAGATGCTGACTTGTTCAATATTCTCCACCAGTGATGGGGAAAGTTACTTTTAAAAGTAATGTCACAATTTTCCGTCACTCCCTTAAAAAGTAACTAAATAAATTACTTTTTCTCACCTGGGTTTGCTTGGTTTTTTTGCTAAACGTAAAGGCCTTTTCACACCAAAAGTGAACAAATTCACGTCTTTCATCTGCTCTGGATCGCAGAAGAATAGGACACAGGAGAAGAAAGTTTATCTAAAGCAATGTTTTCTTATTAGTATGGCTGACTTGGATCATTGAATGTCAGCAGCAAAGATGTTGGTTAATAAAGTGAGATTAAATACATAAAGTACATTTGTTTTATTTAACATTTAATCATGGCAGGTTTTCGTAATATTCTGAGTTTGCATTTCACTGTTTTTATTCATTTTCAGGAATACTGAAACTGTTTTGTGCAAGTGAGATATATATATGCGTGTTCGCATTAGTCTACACAGTAACCATCATGTTCACACACAACGCCTCTACACTTACTCCTGGTTTCTCAACATGGAGACAGAAGAGCTGTCAGTCAATAACATGGAAAAAAAGTAACTCAGATATTTTGATGTACATTTAAAAGTAATGCATTACCTTGCTAGTTACTTGGCAAAGTCATCTGATGGCATAACTTGTGTATAACTAGATAGAGAATATCAGACAGTTAGAACAAATTAGAGAAAAAGAGTCTAAATACAGAGCTCCAGATCATTTTGAGCACTTTGTATGACGTTACACACATACTGAATCCCGATTAAAGGTACAATATGTAAGAATTTTGTAATAAAATATCCAAAAATCACTTGCACAGTGTGATATATTTCCTGCAGTTGTGTACTTACAATATCCCAAAAGTCTCCAAAGATTTTGTATTTCAGAGAAATTCCAATTTTAAATAAGTGGCTGTCCCGGAAAAAGATGTCGCCTGTCAATGACGCAATATCCGCACTATCCTCGGTTTCCGTTCATACTGCCATAGCCATGACGTAACCATGGCGACAGACGTGGACAACTGCGTAGTGCGTAACGTTTAGCGGCACGCAGTTCTTGTTTCTTTCAAACATAGACCATGGCAATCAGACTTTGGAACAAACAAGGAGAACTAAAATGAGGATCAATATCAGCGTGGCGTTTTTGAGATGCCGAGAGTTCCACGTCCGCGACTAAC